AATTCCTGGTTGGTGAAAAGGGTGGCTGCATATTTCATGGATGGAATTGTGAATTGTGTGTTGGTGCTGGAGGAAATGAATGTGTTGGCACCACAGAGCGAATAATGAAATAATGCAATGATGAATAACCTACGGGACAAAAGATGGAATACTTGGACAGGTATCGTATGAAAGATAGATTCCTACTTATTTCTTCATAACTGTTTGTGAATTGGATGATGATTTCTCATTGGACAATTGGTGTTATTTTCGAGGTACCTACGAGTACCTACCTACGGAGGAGGTAGATTTAGAGAGATGGATGGATATATTACTATACAGGTACATTGTAAATCGTGATAAATGTAAATGCGTAATGCGTAATACTATCCAGTAAGAGCGGTGAAGGGGGGACTTTAGCTTCATCTTCTATTTAGCTAAACCCATATCTCTAAGTTGCATATGCATAAAGTGATGAAGCCAGTCGGAGAATTTCCATCCCAACGATTAATATCCAAATGGTGAAAGAGCAAGCTTCATCTGTACTATTTATGGCTACCTGGTACCTTGACGCTCCGAGATCTGTTGGCTGTTATTGGTCTGGAATTTGGATGGCGATTTGTACATGTAGAGGATAGCTTGCAGCTTGTAGCTTGTTGCTTGTCATCTTGTAGAAGGTTCTTTTTTTGGAGATTCAGTTCCTTGCAGGTGAACCCATGGAGATGAATGAGTGCAGTATCTAGGTTCTGTTCTTTTGCTATGTTGGAAGCTAGATGGCTAGATGGCTAGATGGCTCGCAGAAGAGACTGATGGTTTCATTATTTGTTGTAGATACTTTCTCGGAATAGTCTCAATAAATGTAAGTATATGCATTCCTCTTCAATCTATTCTTGTAGCTTCTTGATAACTTCTTCTAATGGTTATTCGAGAATTGTTATTATCAACTCAACCCTTCATAACCGAGGTTACCCCACTACATATACACATCCTTAAAGCATAATCATAACAATAATCATCTTACATAGTAGAACTAATACATTCATACATTTATACATTAATCCGTCATACACATCCTTCACATACACACCAATACCAAACTGTCATACCAGAAATAATTCTACCAGTCTGTCGTGTACATCGTATCAAACGGGAACGCTCTAGCTTCTTACCAAGATATCAGCCTTTCTCCGTCCCATTTCCCATTTCCATTTCCATCTCCCATTTCCCTCTAATCTTCCCCAAAATGCTCCTCACTTCTCACTTCCCACTCTATCTGTGCTGCCACGTATCTTTGCAGGTCGCTCCATCCAACGCCAAAATATGCAAGTACAGGCGTTCCGCATCGAAAAGATCGTAGCTTGTGCATTAAACCCTCCAACTACATTGCTGCACGACGGGGGAGCGATAATTCCAAGTGTCCAAGTGTGTCGGGGTATTGCATATTACTTACATGTCCATTCGAAAAGAGAAGAAGAGGTAGCGTAGCGTCCATCATCAAAACCTCCTTCTTGATCTTTTCCACGCTCGCCTTTTCTGCATTGCATCTCTTCCAACTTTCCAGATCTTGCAAGAACTCCAATCTCCTAGAATGTGGTTTTGGTCCTGAAGACACAAGATTCTTTTTGATATTTTTTCTTGTATACGCTCATTTTCAATTGGGAACAGCAATTCCCTATCTTTTGAATCGATTCCATTCGAAATCTTCCGTACACAGAAACGTTTTTATTTTTTTCTGGTTTTCCTTTTTGCCGTTGTTCTCCCACATCAACATACGAAAGCTTCCTTGCAACATTTCTCCTCAACCCCCCTCTCCCAAATATCATCTGTACAAAACACATCTGAGAGACGTCCATCGGTCACCGCCTCTCGTGTACAAAGACATTTTGTTTCAGGTGCAATTGCGCCCATTGAAAAGGGAGTCGAAATGTTTTGTACTCATTCAAATCTCTCTCTTGAAGGATTAAAGGGTTCTCGGTGATTTCTTCGTGTGTTGAGCCTGCTACTAGGAAGGCCAAGTACACTTGCAATTGGCTGCCAGGTCATTGTTGCTTCACGCCAGTGAGAACTTATTAATTGTATTATATCTGGTCAGTGAATGGGTCAATTGTTTGAATTGATGTACCTACCTACTCCTGTGGATTTGGGAAGATTTGTTTGGTTGAGAATGTTTTGTTCTGACGAGTTGTAGTATACTTTTGGTGTGTAATGTGGATATCGTCGTTGATTGATTCATTCGACGTTGGGAAATATACTAATTAAAATTAAAATTTTCCTCTCGAGAAGTAAAGACGAGAGAAATAATTCAATCGGATTATTCGGTCCTTTCGATCCTCTGTCCTCTGTCTTCAATTGATTCACTCGGCTGGGCGAATCCATCTTCTTCACACTCTTCAATTCTCCACGATATTCGATTTTTATTTGACGCCTTGTCCACACACAATCAAAGCATTTGGACGCACTCGAATATCCATAGGAGCGACTACCTTGGAACATTGTGAAGATACGACTGGAAGGACTTTTGTTGAAAGGAGGCGGTCTGAAGGATTTTTGTTCATTTGGGGTTGCTGAAGTGAATTCGAATTATTTTGGCTCATTTGAATCACGCTCGCTGTCGAATTTTGCAAGACCTTGTTGGATACATCACAGGATCGTGTCGTCGAAATCTTTGCTGGATTTATCCTCTGTATACGAGTCCACCAGAATATCTTATCACTGGTGCTGTTTAATTGGTAGTTTATACTGCTCTTAATTCTTCGCGGCGACGCGCTCTCTCTCATCACGCAACCAATACTATATCGAGCCGATTCACAATCCGGCGATTGGTTCTATCGCCAGCCTTCTTCATCGAGAGCCTCTGTTTTTGCCTCTTGATCTTTTGTACAAATTTTCACATCCACTTCCACGCAATTCTACATTCACCAATCATCACAATGGCATCCTCAGAGGTCGACACAAAGTTCCTTGGCCAATTTGCCAAAAACATTCAATTGGACCACCCACTGCTGGCTCAAAATCTGTTTCAGATTTTGGGAAATCTCACCATGCTCTCAAAAATGGTTGTGAAAGCGCGAAAACTCAGACGACTCGACACAACCCGTGATACGAAGTCCGTCGAACTATACACTCGAATTATCTGGTATGCGAAAGAAGGTTTGAAAATTCTAGAACAATACGTTCTACCGCTAGTGGCAGGTTTCGGAGAGTTAAAAGTCCTCGTTTACAAACTGAGAGCGAGTTATTATCATCTCTATGTTCTCTTCCACAATACTCCTGCGATCACTCTCAGAACTCCCAAGATCTCTACTCCACCTGGTTTGACATCTCCACGCTATAAAGAAAAAGGCAAAGGGATCGACAATACCCCACCGCCAGACCCACATCGTCCATCCAGCATCCAACTTACCCACGCTCTCGAAGGCGGACCCGTCGGCGGACCTCCCGGTCTCTCTCTCCCAGTGCCAGATATCACAGGAAGTTTTCTCATCCCCGCTCACGATTACCGTCCCTTCGCAACCCAATGTTTCGAAGACGCTTCCATCCTTGCTGATCGCCAACTATGGGGTTCTCACCCTCTGCGCCTCTCTGTCAAAGTCGAATATACAGCATTTATATATGATTGTCTGGATGAAGCGAATCGGTCGAGAGAACTGGCCCGGAAGACGATTAGCGAAGTCTATAATGCGGACGAGGGAATGGACGATGATATGTTTGAAGATGCGGCAGAATTAGTGAGTATTCTGGGGAAGATGATGAAGAGGGGTTTGAGCACAGGCACGAGCGCGGGAACTAGTACAGTGGGGGCCAGTGGAAGTGATGAGGGTACTGTGAGGGGAAGGGGAGGGGAATTGGAGAGAACACCGAGATTACACGGGGATACATTACCGCCGATGCATAACCCGATATGAGATATTTCAGACCGATGACGAGACGGGACTTTTGGACCGTACTGCACCGTCACCATCAAGCAAAGATTCACGAATGATACCCACCCCCCGATTCGAAATATACCAGATCCGACATCCCACTCCCATAGCCTCGAAACCGAAACAAACACCCAATCAAACCGAACCAAACCAATCAAAAGAAGAAGAAGAAACACAACCACCAAACAAAAATATAACCCGGAGGAAAACGAACCGTCTGTAGCTTTGTTTGATTAAGCTACTGCAAAGATTCTGCGCACGTATCCATATGTATGATAATGATGATGATGAGAGAGTGATGGATATGTATGGTATTTGATACGAAAGGAGAAGAAGTACGTGTACGATTGATTGATGGTTTATTTGTTGGATTGATGGATTGATTGAATATTGAATATTGAATCATTATATACCCATGAATACGAGTGATGCGACGGGCATTTATGCGGTATTTGAGTGAACGAGATAGATGATAGGTGGTTGAGTTGGGTTGGGTTGGAGGTTGGAATTAGGGTTGGAATTGGGGTTGCTAATATAATTATGATGATGATGATGATGATGATGATGATGATGATGATTTTGAAATGAGCGATGAGCGATGAGCGATGAGTTGGTGAATGTGTCTGATTTGATTTGATCTGATCTGATCTGGGCTGGGTGAATTGATTTGATTTACTAATATGGGTGGGAGAGAAAACGAGGATAGGTAGTGGATGAATTGCATACCTCCAGCTACCTAAGTAGGTAGGTACCTATTTAGTTTATGAAGCTTTGGTGTGCGGATATAGATATGGATATGTATGTATGTATTATATCATATCATATCATATTATAGCATATCTCCTCACGATCAAAAGAATGATACAGTATTCAAATCCCTATACATATATATAAAAGCTCTTCAATATACCTACCCATCATACCTAAGTACAATACGAATTATTTCATTCATTCACTCCTCTTACATCCATCTATTTCCTCACTTCTCCTCACATCCATCCAATCCCCACTCCTCCTCCTCCTCCTCCTTCCTCTCCCCAACTCCCATCTCACAATTTCGATCCTCCCCCCGATCTCTCCAATCCCGCCTTTTCAAGTTCATTCTTCATCTTCAATTGGTAATTCTTGACGAGTTGTCGGATGCACAGATCGAGCATGACATCTTCGCTGCCGCCGGGGATGCGGGCGCCGGGGATTTCGCGGAAGATTCCTGGGGAGGGGTGGGGGTGTTAGTTTTGGGGGTATTTGGGGGATTTTGGTTTGGAGGAGAGGGGATTGTGATTGGGATTGGGGTTGCAGAAAAAGGAAGGCAAAAGAAAAAAAAGAGGAAAAAAAAAGAAAAGAAAAAGAAAAGAAAAAGAAAAAGAAAAACAAACGTTCCACCACCTCCCCCATCCCACTCTGCGTATACCCATTCCCCCCAAAAAGCAACACCGCAGTCGACGCACAACTCTCCAACACCATACCCGCCCTTGCCTTCGCCAACGCCGTCAAGCCCCCCAACTCCCGATCCGCATCCTCCTCTCGCAACTGCGTCATCATCCACGTGAACCCTTCGATCCAGGCCCAATGACTCTCGAGCTGCGCCCCACAGCGCGCCAAGCGATTCCTTACCACCGGCTGCTCCATCAGCGGTTTCCCAAACGCCTGGCGCCGCAGCACGTACGCAAACGCGTGATGCAGCGCCGTGCGCGCAATCCGATTCACGGAAATCGAGATGCTCAGCCGCTCGTGGTTGAAATTCTGCATCAGGTATTTCATGCCCGCGCCTTCGCTTCCGATCAGATTCTCCCGCGGCACCCGCACGTTGTCCAGCTCGATAAAGGTCGTTCCTGCGGCCGTCTGTCCGCCCACTTTGATCCGACGCATCGTCACCCCCGGATACTGGAGTAGCGGAACAACCAGAAGCGAGAGACCGCCTGGACCCGGCCCACCCGTCCTCACAGCCATGGTAGCGTAATCAGACCAGAGCCCATTCGTGATCCATTTTTTAGTCCCGTCAACGATCCATTCCGCTCCATCATCGCTTTTCCGCGCGGTGGTTTCAATAGCGCTAACGTCGCTTCCGGCGCCGGGTTCCGTAATCGCGATACAGATTCTTTTTTTCCCGGTGAGGAGATCGGGGAGGAAACGGGCTTGCAGGGCGTGCGAACCGAATTTTAAGATGGGGGGAACCCCGAAGGCGAACCCGGTGGTTATGGCGCCGGAGGGCCCGAGAGACCCAGAACGATGCATTTCATCCGTGAATATTAGGGTGTGCATGTAGTCGAATTCTTCGACGGGGAGATCGCCAGGGAGATGCGTGATGCCGATTTCTTTGAGCCATTTTACAGGGAGAGGAGAGGGAAGATTGGGGATGAGGAAGTTGGCGCTGGCGAACTTTTGGTAGAGATTGACTGGATGTGTTGGTTAGTCTTGTTTTCTTGTTGAAAGTATATATTTGGTATGTAGAATTGGAGATTAGATCAAGGGGTAGTATGTACCGGGTACATCTCCCTCTTTTTCCCAATCACCTGCTTCACCCAGTAATTCGGAAACAAGCGCTTGACATGTTTTTTGCCATTTGCGGTGTGAAGCATTGTAATAAGGAGATGGTAAACCCATGAGCCAAGGAGGTTCAGAGAAGGGAATTGGAACTGAGGAAGACATATTTCTTTTGGGACAATTTCAACAAAGCGTGATCTGAGTATTCTAAGATGTTGTTATTATAAAACTATAAAAGTATATGGAGGCTATGTGGAATAATTGAGAAGTCCTAATAAGTAGGTATATATTGAAAAGTATGGGGAATTAGCGTAATGCGGGGTGGAGGCGGGTGTTTTGCCGCATGAACCGAGGCTTTCATGGGTAAGGAAGGGTTGAATAATTGTTGATCTATTGTAGATTCATGTGAAATCATATATAGACAGAGATTCTCTATTCTGATATTAATGTTTAAAAGTTTGTGAAGATAAAAAATTTCATACAGATAATGGAAGAAGCTAATTCTGGCAGAAACACATACTCTCATATGAGTAAAAGGCCACCCACGATCCAGTTATCTAGCTTCCTATCAAAATAGCGGTTGAGAAAGGGCAACCGAAAGATGTTTCAGTGATGGGATGCTTATGGTGCAAACACATGTTAAATAATGCACGAGATTTTTATTGCTGAAGTTTTGAAAATTGATTGTTTTGTATTTGCTTACATACCTGAAGATCTTGAGAGCATCCTACCAGTGAAGAGTCCTTTGCATTTGTTCAAATTTGATGGAGAGATTCCATAAGCGAAACTTCCGTCTATCTCTACTGATGTCATGATCAAATTGACATTATATCTCGAGAAAGATGCAATTACCGTATGTAACTCCCTAGTGCTTCAATAACCACCTATTACATATAGTAATGTTTGAAATATACCCCTAATTCAATTCCTTCTTCCTTGCATGCCCTGATCAAATCATATTTGCACGGACGATATTGTGAAGGATGCATACCGAGCCACGTCAAGCTGATATACTTGAGATCAGGAGCATATCTTTCCTTCTGTCTGACTAATGCCGCAACTGCCGCAAATGACATGTTATCAAAAGAGTAACAGTCTTTCAATGTGAGATTTTGGAGACTTCGAGGGATGCGCTGTAAAAAGGCTCTTGTGTGATCAGCGTCAGGATCGTCACCACTGTACGTCTTTGCAGATGTGTTTTTGTTTATTGAGTCATCAAGAATAACTCCAGCACTCACAACAATCTCCTTTAACTTTGGGAAGTCTGCAAATGAGCCGGGTCGACCGAAGGATCCAGTCTCAACCAAATGGGGGCGTATGTATTCACTTGCCACTCCAGCTTCAATGAATTCGAGTGTCTCCTTACTGGCCATCAAACCTTCAATCATCTCCGTGGAACAAAACGGAACCCTGATGCTGGAGTGCTCTAACGCAAATCTGCGAAGTGATGGACAGGCGCTCAGGAGTCTTCTCAAATTTTCAGGGTGGAGCACACTACGCTCAAATTGCAGGTCCTGGACCCGAGAAGTAAATGTTTCAGGAATGCTAAAGGGAACTTCCGGGGAAAGATCATTGGCATCTTGAACGACGAACTTCTTGAGTGATGGCAGTTCAAGACGATGTACAATTTTTGAAAGTGGTACATCATCATGTGAAATGTTCTTTATTGACATGGAGGTCAATTTAGACATGGAATATGGCGAGATTTCATGTTCCGATGCTCTCTGCATTGTCTGAAGTGCTACTGCGTGGGCAAACATAGGGGCGAAAAACTCTGCAGTAGGGTCAATGGTGCCTGCATTTCCACCACGCTTAAAATTTCCCTCGGACATATGAATCTCCTTCAAATTGGGGAGAAGACAGACAATGAATGCAAAAATACCGTCACTACCCGGTGCCCTGCTATTCCCCCATCCAAAGATAGCTCTGTACCAGAGTTCTGCTTGTTTTTCGCTGGCGCTGGCCTCGATGACCTTGATCCGAATGAGATTACATAAGGCGTTAGCGGGATCGGATCTATCATCTAGGTTGCGATAGAAGAGTCTCCAGATCGATTGGAGTTGTGCACGAAGGAACCACACGCACTGGAAGGTTTTTGGGAATTTCGCAAGATCAGGGCGACTGACTATAGTGCGAAGGAAGAGGTAGTGGCGAGGATCTTTTGGACAAATTTCATCAATCTTGTCATAGAAGGTGATTGTAGAATACAAATAAGGCGTAGCAACTGTGTTGAGCAGATGGCAAGTCTTGCAGAGCTCGCGTGCATCACTAAACTCACAGAATTCAATGATCGCATTGAGAAGTTCGTTGGAGAGAGCGAGAAGTGGCATTCTGAAATGTTGCTTGATTATTCGAAGTTATCTTGGAGATTTCACAGTAGCTGAAATGTTGTCAAACTGTCTCATAAAAGATCTGAGATTTGATGTTGTGGGATGTAGAGAGTGTTAAATGGATAAAAAAGGAAGCCTGGTACGGGCCCAGTTTCCAAATCACTAGGCGAACGTATGGCATCCGATCGATCAGCACTACTATAATCGTACAATAATCGTTTTGGAGGTGAATGAACAGAAATGAAGACGAATTCATCAAACTTGCAAGATTTGATACGGCTCTGTCCATAGATGGCTTACCAATCATCATTCCAGGCTATTCAAATTTTTGTATTTCGACATCAGATCTATATTGAATGGTTTAGTAGTCAAGCTTTGTGGCTGGGGAGGAGGATTTCTAAAGGGTAGAGTACTTACGAAGACCATAAAACCCAAAATATTGAACCCTGATAAAGGTGAGCTGCATCGCAAATTATCAAAATAGCCTCATCTCGGAATCAAAAACAAAAGAACGTTTATTTATAGGCTCTCCACGACTAACTACTTTCTCCATTCTCCGTGATATCTCCCGATTCATCCATACCCTTCGTTTCTTCCGGGCATTTCATCGTAACTCTCCACGCCGCAATTCCCCTCCTCCCAATCACCCTCGTGATCGTACTCCAGAGCCCATCATCCCCAAAATCCATATCATCTAGATTGAGATGCTTTTTATATGTGAAAATCTCCTCAAAGTACAGATCTGTCTGATTTGCCGTATATTTATCTAGGAAAGTGGCGGATGTGGGTGCGATAAGATATGTAGCTTCTGTAAGCTCTTCTCCGGATTTGGGAAGACAAGTTGCTAGTTTGCTGACCTCTTCTATCATGAGCTCTCCTCTGATGCCCATGAGATCATGAGTGTCGAGCACTTCATTTTTGCCGTTCAGTAGCCAAATTGGTGGACTATAAGTTTTCCACCAAAAAGCGTGAGTGGCGTCTAATTGTTTGCTCAAGAAGACTTGAGTTGGGACAACTCCTCCCTGATGGTATACACCCATCAAAAGACCCAGTAAAACATTAAAGGAAATCCACAACCCAACCCAGATACGCAAAGAAATTCCTGATTTGGGTAATCTTACAGATGACAATATTAAAGGAATGGCTGGAAGCAAGAATCGTGCCTCCTGGTGTTTGAAAAATGAAAGAACAACTACACCCGAGATAGCAGAGCAAAGTCGAAGAGGAGCCACAGGTCGTAAGAAGAGAAGTATTGTGGCAGGTCCCAATAATTGTGGGAGATTTATTAGACTATGTTGATACCATGGATGTAGGCCGTGAAGCGCAAGATTTTCCGGTGCGAGATTATACTTTAAATTATTAAACGGTGTAATTGTTGGATGGGAGAAAAGATAGGACCAAGTGACCGGGACTTTGGCGTAGAAGTTCGTATCCAAAGAGATTGCAATAAATGTAGCCAGGAGACCGAAGAGGATCATCGAAACGAGCGAAAAAGGCCTAATCAAAATCAGCTAGGGTAACACAGGTGGGTCGAAAAACTTACTTTCTCTTGAAATGTGGTAATAAACGAAGACCCGGAATGAAGAGAAAGGCGGGAAAGGTAATGCGATTAAATACCCCAAAAACCACAACGAAGGCAAGAATTCCGCATAATGATACCGAAGTATGCTTCTACGACAATCAGCTTCAAATTCCACACTTTAACACATGCTCCGCATCCTCCTACCTTGATTGCCGCGATTTTTTGTATCAAAATCAGACTCCATGCGACTGCCAACGTTTCTATCGAGTTCGAGAATGTGTGTGTTTGATATGTCCAGGTAACGTATGAAGATGCCACAAGTAAGACTGCAATTTTGTAGTGTCTTTTCGATTCAGCCAATTCCCAAATAGCCCAATCTCCAAGCACAAAACTCAAGGTCAACATCAACAGTCGCAAGGCGAAGAACACTGCTATCGGAGGGATTTCCCCATCATTTCCATTTCCTATCCAGAGCCATCGAAGGAGGAGCATCGGCAGACCATATATAGGCCATAATGGGAAGACACTTCGAATCGGATTTTCGGACGTAAATTCCCAGGTTAACTTGACAGGATAGCTGAAGATTTGACCTGCGGGTTGTTAGCAGAGATGCTTTGTAGATTGGATGTCATGCAAGGAGCCCCCCTTTCAGATGTGCCGACTGAATATATCTGCCGGAGCTAAGGGGAAGCTACGTTACAAAATAATATGAAACTTACCAGCTATAACCTCTGGACCTTGAAAATTCTCATCGGGATGTAGATAACTTGGAGAGAGGGCAAACCAAACTCGCAAAAGAAGAAGAAATAAGTATGCACGCCCGAAGAAAGGCATTTCTGATATTTACCTAGGGCATACGTTTGAAGAATGAGAATGTGAAGAAAAGTTGGGTTAAATTAAAGAAGTATTCGCAAACGCGATAAAAGGATAATAACAGAGAAAGAGGTCATTGGAAATGGGACGAGAAAACCAAAGGACACTCCAAACACTGATAGGTATGAGAAGTATGAGAAATATGGGTTGTTGGATACTTTTTCTAACGGAAACGGTTGGAAAGTAAAGTCGCGTTACCTCTCTACCTTTTATTTTTTTCCACTTTCAAGGATGGCATTGGGGGTATGACGGAGATCAGCAATCTCGGAATGACAGGAGATTTGGAATGGGCTGACCAATCGTATTCATTACCGAAGATATTGCTCCTTTCATTCCGGATGCAATTTGTCGTGATGCCCAGATACACGATACTTTGTACTTTTTCCATTCAGCTTAGAAATTATTATATCCTCAATAATTAGGAAAAGGGGTAACGATGAGATGATGAGATGGAGATGGAGAAGATGAGATGAAGTTTAAAATGATGATGTTACACGAAGACAGGTCTTAGGTACTATGTATGTAATATGTAAGTACCTAGCATCCCTAGTCTCCGGTAGCCTCTCGTAGATATCCTATGATTATTACTAAAAGAGATATCCTATGATTATTACTAAAAGTACTAGCATCACCTGCATCAAGCTTTTCGGCTTTTGATTAACCTTTATTGAATGGGTTGCAACCAATTTGAACTCTTCACAGCTCGGAGACCATGGAGGAATAAACTCCATGTCCACCTGCATCGTTTTCTATTTTGGATATGATTTGCATTTGCATAGGTCAGTAGATTAGACATAGAACGATAGAACGATAGAACTCTCACTACCTAGGGATCAAAAGAACAACAGATATTCGAGGAATCAGCTAGAACAACATTATTCACTTGGCAACATAGATAGTACCTAGGTAGGTAGGTACTCTAGTCATACCTAGTAAACTCCTCAACTTCTCGAGCTTCTCTTGTTGAAATCACCGACCGAGTTGTTGAAATTGCCGACCGAGTCGAATGCTCTACATATCTTCCTTGTGTGAAGATAGCACATTACTTCTTCTCTAGCTTACAGATCTAGTTCATCGAGTTCCTACCTGATGCATGATAGCACCACATACATCACGTGCTCTGCTCGTCATGCTGTGCGCGGAGTTGAACCAGAAACCAGACAAGGCTGAGAACCCATAGAAAAGCCACTCTATTCTACATGTAGTACTCCGTACTTTAATAACTCTGACTCTGCCTCTGCCTCGTCCCCCCAATCACAAGAGGACAGTGCACATTTAGATCCAAGCTTCACCGACTCGAACAGAACAGAACATCTCAAGGCTTCCATCAGGTATCAGGTAGCGCTTACTTGGACTGATGATGAGGGAGGCGCTAATCCAAAATAGACGCTGCTTGCTCTGGATTGACATGGGTGCAATGCAAACTGTACAATGCAAAAGAGGCCAAGGGTGATTGATTGTTAGGTAGCTGTAGATGCTTTGTTATTCTTCCAAACTATGCTTCCTGTCCTATGACATGGTCACCAGTGACTCAAACGTTGGTGCTTAGGCAACCGATCGTCTATTCACCGTATAGAAGGCTACTACAGCTACTTCCCTACCCTTCCCTACCCTTCCCTCGCATTCCATTTGTGCCAATTAAACATGTCAATTAATCATGTCCATTTTTTCATGTACCGTGGTTACAATACAATTCACTTTCGAGACTCTGATACTGTCATGCTGTGATTGATGACTTTGGATTGACTTTGGGAGACCAACGCAAAAAGACACTAGCACGTACTAAAATCCTTAATACATGCCTAGTAGTAATACGCTTTTTGAACCAGGATTTTTGCAGGCTAAGCGACTACAAGGCCTGACATAAAGGCGCCTTCAATTCCCATCCACATCCTCCTTCTCATTAACACATACATCCAACAACTTAACAATCAACTCTACACAACTCAACTCTACAATCTCACCAACACACAATAAATTCTCATAACCACCACCTTAACACAGAGAAAATAATATCCTCTTTCAAAATGTCTGAAGGTACCGCCACTACCATCAAGCTCGTCAGCAACGACAATGTTGAAGTCACTGTTGGTAAGTTACCCCGCCTACTATCCGAACCAAAACCCAAACTCAACCCGCAGACCGAGTTCAACAATGAATGCTAACTTTTTATCAATAGAGAGATCTGTTGCTGAGCGCTCCATGTTGATCAAGAACATGTTGGATGATCTTGGAGATGGTGTTCTCGAGACTCCTGTCCCAATCCCTAACGTAAGTTTCTCTGACATCATTTCACCTTTATTCTTATTGAACCTTAAACTGATAATTCTTTCTCTTTACAGGTCAATGAAGCTGTTCTCCGCAAGGTCATCGAGTGGGCTGACCACCACAAGCACGACCCTGCCCCAACTGCCGATGACGATTCTGATAGTCGCAAGAAGACTACTGATATTGAGGAATGGGACCAAAAGTTTATGCAAGTCGATCAAGAGATGTTGTTCGAGATCATCCTTGTAAGTCATGTTCTTTGAAACAAAGATACTTGATCATTACTAACAATTTACCATCAGGCTGCCAACTACCTTGACATCAAGGCTCTTCTCGACGTCGGATGCAAGACTGTCGCAAACATGATCAAGGGAAAGTCTCCAGAGGAAATCCGAAAGACATTCAACATCACCAATGACTTCACTCCTGAGGAAGAGGAGCAAATCCGCCGCGAGAACGAGTGGGCTGAGGATCGTTAAGAATACATCTTAGCAAAATAATGACCACGAATTACCGTATGATACCATCACGAATTGGGGGTTGTTCATAAATGTGGGGTGATGGTTAGCTTCAGTAGCATGGGGGGAGTTCTCTGATTGTTTCTGATTACCAACCGAAAGTCCAGGTTCATACACTTTCATGGCGTGGGGGGTCTATTTCCTAGTTTTTTCTTCATTAGGGTTTACAGTGTGTATGTACACACATCGGGTGGGCGTTTTATGAGGATACTGAAGTGTAGACGGAGGATGTCAATAAAGGATATTACATAGACAGTCTACACTCAACCATACAGGTATCACACAATTGCACTGGTTTTCAATATTATATTATGTCTTCTTTCATCATGTGAATTTGTGATATTGTGGATACAAGCTGATGGAGGTATGTTTCTTTCCAAGCTTCTTCAAAATGTAAGTTGCTCCCTCTAAGGAGAAGTTCTAAATTATTCTTTCTGCTATGGATATTATTACAATTGCACTTCTTATTCTTCCCATTCGCATTCTCATCCTTGATCTCAATCTCAATATCTCCATCTCAATATCTCCATCTCAATATCTCCATCTCAATATCTCCATCTCAATATCTCAATCTCAATATCTCCATCTCAATATCTCCATCTCAATATCTCAATCTCATAAACATCAAACATCAAGTTTTAACCAAATCATTACAATTCTCTTTACTCTTTACCTATCTAGGTGGATAGGTAGGTGTTCTCTCTCTCTCTCTCATATATATACACACACACACATATATATATATACTCTCTTTCTCTTTCTCTCTTTCTCTCACACAAACATATACAAACACACAAATATATACAAATATATACAAATATATACATATATACATATACACATATACACAAATATATATCTTATTTGTTTCTCCTTCTTTAAGTCTAAGGGTTGTTTATGATTTATAAGCTTGATGTGATGTAATATGATGTGATGTAATGTGATGTGATGTGATATGGTTTGGGTTGGTTTGGTTTGATTTGGTTTGATTTGATTTGATGAGAGGGGGGTCGGGGGGGTTGATGAGGGGGGAGGGGAGAGGAGGGAAGGGGAAGGGAGAGGGGAAGGGAGAGGGGAAGGGAGAGGGGAAGGGAGAGGGGAAGGGAGAGGGGAAGGGAGAGGGGAAGGGGTTTTTTATGGTTGGGTTTGAATGTGTGTGTGTGTGTGTGTGTGTGTGTGTGTGTGTGTGTGTGTGTGTGTGTGTGTGTGTGTGTGTGTGTATGTATGGCAACGTATAGTATAATATACTATAATACAATAAGTAAATCCCAGGATATACAATTTTCCCAGAAGAATATCTTTTCCTATTCATCTAGGTACCTCCAGCTATCCCCCCCCAGCTATCATGAATTTGGACTTCTATATACAACCTTGAAAGCTTGTGTACCTAGGACATTGTATCTATTTATCTATTTATCAATTTTATTTTATTTTATGTTGAAACTTTATGTTTTCTTGCGAGTGAGAGTATTATAATATAATATAATATATAAATGGATATATATGGATATAACTATATAAATAGTATAAAGAAAAAAAAGAAAGAAAGAAAGAAAGAAAGAAAGCAAGAACTTTCTATTTGATATATATATATATATATATATCTCGATTTCAAAGTTAACTACACTTACTATTCACTTACTGTTCACTCCTCTCCATTCCTCCTCTCCTCCTCTCCATCCCTCCTCTCCTCCTCTCCATCCCTCCATCCCTCTCTCTTCTTCTTCACCATTTTTCTCTCTTTCCCATCTATAATTTCTTCCCAAAACCCTCTTACAATCCTCTCCTACCTAAATAGTTCCTCTATTTCTCCCATCCATGATACCATAGATCACGAGTAATATTCCAGATCTTCTCTCTCGTATCCATCAAATCCATCAACTTCTACATCTCCAGACCAACACAGTCTATTTTAATATAATATAATACACTCCACTAATTCTCATTCTCATTTCTCATCACCCACACCCACACCCACACCACACCCACACCTACACCCACCTCACATCTCCATCTCCATCTCCATCTCCATCTCCATCTCCATCTCCATCTATTCCCTCCCATCTCTATTTCTATTTCCAGCTTATATAAAAACTACCTACCTATCTTCCTACACCTATATACTATATAACATGCAATATCCAGCAAACTACCTCATACCAACCAGATAATCATCCTCATTCTCATCCTCACCCTCATCCCCACTCAACAGAAAAATACCTAGAAATTCCACTTCCCATGTACATATATATACATACATACCTCCCTACCTCCCTACACAACATATAAATACTCATTCGCTTCTAAACCAAACCAGACATAAATAACATAAATAATACCTCACAACCCCACTAGTTAAATGTATATACCCAGATATGACTTCACATGTATGTATGTGTATACACTAGTTGAACATATATATATACATACATATATATATACTTATAACTTCACAATTCATCTAATCATAATCATAAACATCACATCACATCACATCACATCATACATACCATAACACAACCTGTACGATAGAATAAAACGAATATAAAGAGCAGAGCAGAAGTGTATATAGAGGGGAACATGACACAAAAGGGGGAATGGATGTTGGAAGAGATGAATAGTAAGTGGGGTATATGTGCATGGAGGTGGAGGTGGAGAAAACTGGAGTCGAGATTCCAGATCAGGAGAGATAGAGGGGAAAATGAATTAATATGATGATGCTGGGAGGAAATGGCTAAGAAAGAATGAGTGGGAAGAGAAAGGGAAGGGTGGGGACAGTTGCTGTGAAAAGGGTGGTTGTGAACGAACTTAAGGTAAATCTCAGATGTGGGGAAGATCAAGGGACCAAGGGGAAGGAGGATCCCTTGTAGTTCGTGGATGCAGGCTGATCTGATTGTGCTCTGCAAACTGATCGAGGATACTGAAAAACATTGCCGAAGCTGGATATCCATTCAAGTTCCATGTCCTGCTAGAAACCTTTCTAGGCGTTTCAATCCATATCCCATGGAGATTCAAGATGAGCGTAATCACACCCATTCACAATCACAAAGCGAAATCCACTCGAAACTCCAATAATATAACATGGAGAAATCAACAAAACATCCCATTTCCTCACCGAGTCACTTTGCTATAAACACAATGATCCTCTCTCAATCGCGATATATGCCATTCATTGAACCGGCCTAGCAATCAGAAATGTTACGCCTCCCTTTTCCCAAAGCAACATCCATCAGTTGTACCCTCCTTCCAAACCGAGCAAAAATTATCATTTCATTTCTCCATGCTCCTCCCTCATAAAAATTGCCATTCGTGTCTGAGTATCGTGCGAATTCGGGATAAGTAGCGTAAGGTTTGGTGGATGGGCGAGAAGCGGGAAAAAGAGAAAATCGTATGAGCGTGGGTAGAGGTTGAGGAGAAGATGGAATGTTTTGCTGTTGAAAGGTAATGCATCTAAAGACCGATACGAGTCTTTCTCCAGTGACGTCTCTTTGCGTTGTATCTATTGGATTTAATTAGTTAAAAGCTCGATCGGAGTTGCTGATATTCGATAATGATTCATCTCGACTTTGTAAAGTCGAAAGTGGAATCGAGGAGGTGAAGATGTAATTTTTGTTCTGTTGCCCTGGGGCATTCCAAATCTTGAACATACCGGATGGTGTTACCAGTCCTCAAACGGATCCATTGTGGGATGGGTCTGTTTTGCTTTTGGGCTCTCGCAAGCTTCTGCTTGGTGCGGAATGACTTTTGGGACTGTAGCAAGGTATCGAATTAGCATCTATATGATTTGTCGTATTGTTCTTTTATTTCTTGGCCAGGTCGTTTTGTTGGTATTCGAGATCGTGAATTCCATCTTTTAATGTCGCGCCCATAAATCGTTCTATAATCTCGAATCCATTCCAATTTCCCAGGCCAAGCGATTGAACGTATGCGTCATTTAAAAAAGGCAGTACATACCGGCATCTTGAAAAGTCGGCGTCGATATTGTCGTTGTCGTGCTGGATCAAAAGTCCGATGATAGAGGTTCAATGCATTCACACACCAAAAAATTCTGACGAGGGCTTTATTTCTCGGTTGCCCTTTCGATCGGCCTTCAGGCTCTCAGGCTCAAGTCCTGAGTCGGTGCACGTGAGCGGCTTGGAAAAATAAAGTTATGACTAATCATGATCGGAAACCTCTGGCTCCGCGATTAGGATTGGAAATACGGTAAGGCGCTGCATCAAAGCAACATTTGAACAGTTGACCTCGCTGGTAAAACATAGATCACTTGAGTAGAAAGTCCTACCTTTTGACACTACAAGACACCCCAATTCTCGCGAACGATTACAACATCACGACGACTTACGAATTCTGCAAATTTGGTGATTATTGAGCATACGATTGGGACAAAGAAAGGAAGATTCCAGGAAGACAAGGATAGGGGACAGCTAAGCATAGTTGTTTAGGAGGTCGACTTTAAGAGGAACAGAAAGAGAACAGGAAATACCATTACAAAACTTCCAAAAATGGGCGCAAGTGTTTCGTGGCTGTCGGGGATGCTATTTTCGAAGAAAGAGATCCGGATATTGATTTTGGGACTGGTAAGTAGCAGGCTGAAGGCCTCTTGGGGCATTCGAGGACTAGCAAAGAAGAAGGGGAGGCTAATATATCTGCGAATTGGTTAGGATAACGCTGGAAAGACTACATTACTATATAGGCTGAAGGTTAGTGGCTCTAGACCTTGGCACTACAGGAGGGGCTTTATGCTAACGGGAAACCGCAGATTGGGGAAGTGGTAACTACAATACCGACTATTGGTTTCAATGTGGAATCAGTGACGTACAAAAATCTAAATTTCAATGTTTGGGTAAGATTATATTTCCTCTCTTCATTCTTCTCAAATCTGCCATTTAACAATTCCGAACTGACTTGCTTGTTACAGGATCTGGGAGGACAGACGTCAATTAGACCCTATTGGCGCTGCTACTACGCTAATACGGCTGCGGTAATATTCGTTATCGATTCCACAGACATTGATCGATTAGGCACTGCTTCAGAAGAATTGGCAGCAATGTTGAATGAGGACGAGTTGAAAGATGCTGCGCTACTAGTATTTGCGAATAAACAAGATCAACCGGGAGCGAAAGGTGCTGGTGAGATTTCCGAGGCTTTAAGACTAGGAGAGTTAAGGGATAGGAATTGGAGTATAGTGGCATGTAGTGCCGTAGATGGTAGTGGTGTGGATGAGGGGATGGACTGGCTCGTTGTAAGTGTTCCAATGCTTGAAAGTGGCTTCTGCACTTAAGAAACCGCGATACTAACATGCCAATAGCAAACTGTACAACAAGAGTCGTAATAGAGGAAGAAGGTGCAGAAAAACGACCGTGTGTACTATGATCATGATACAATACCTAAACATCAGTTGAATAATTGACTGGAAGGATCAAACTGGAGTCTGGGGTACAAATCTCAAGCTCCATGTTTTTGCTACACTCATGAATATGAACAAGACCATCATTCTCGGAGGTATAATAGATGCATAGGCGTCTTTGAGCATCTACATCTGGGCCGGGAGCACTGTATTTGAATCTTTATTTGTAATTGAGCATCTTAGATTGATGGATTAGTGATGAATTCATATTGACACTGAAGACATTGAACTGGCCAAAGGTTTGACGTAGCTACCTCTGAGTCTGAAAGCTACGCGAAAACCGAGCTCCTAATCATCTTTTCGCCAGCCGGTTACGTAGGACTGTCTGTACCTCTGCTTTGTGATACAAATCGAGTCTAGATCTTGAGATTTGTCACGACTCATTAGCAAGCCATCGATAGACCAACATGGACTCTGGAGGCGAGGCCACGAAAGGTCTCGTGGATCTTGTCGATATAGGTATGGCAATGGCATAATGGCACATGGATCATTCGAAATGGGAATCTGAGTCTTGTTGTCACATTGGATATGTTTGTAGATGGATCCCTGTGGACAAGACAAGGTAAGGAAGGTCTCTTAGAGTTGTTAGCTAGCAGATTACTTTGTAAGATCACAATTTCGAGGAACGGACGAATTCCCATGCCTAGATTATGAATTCCCATGTGTGAACGCTGGGTATCTAGGTAGGTATCTAGGTAGTAGGCTAGATAGATAAAGAATTTGTGAAAGAAAGAAAATCTTGAAAATGTGAGAGAGTCCACGGGTATGAATGAATGTGGCTATGTACTAGCAAGCTAGCCACAACTTGAAGTTACTAGTTAGTACAAGCGTGATAGATACCGAGATTCGGGATTTGATGATGTGATATTAGAGGAAGTGTGTTTTTGGTACTTTGGCTTGGATATCGTAGGTATGTACGTACTAGGTGATAAGTCGGTATCCACTGTAGTCTGATGGCTGGGAAAACCTTGGAATTTACAGAATGTTTGGTGGAATTGGGGACTTTTCCGAAGATGGTGGATGGATGTTAGATGGTAGATGTTGTAGGATGGGGTTTGTTTTTGTGATAGGATGGGATGGGATGGATCGATTACGACATATCTTTGAGATACTCGAGTACTGCGATACCGTTGTACGATAATACCGCCGCGACTAGGTAGGTCGAACGTGCGATATGCAGCGGCGGATTCCACCTCTCGTTTGGTGAAAGAAAGTTCCCAAGTCATTTTCCTACCTAATACCTATGCCGGGCGTTCCTTTTCCGAAGCTCCTTCTGGAAAGTTGATCCCGATGTGGTAACAAGTTGCCAGCAACCATGATACATGTTGTAATGTAATGTAATGTAATACCCATTATCATGATACATATCCGAGGTCATGTTCACAGAGTATATATAGATACAGTAACATTCTCGCTGGATGACACTGTGATGTATTGTATGTAATGCGCTGCTCACGATTCGTCGTCGGGGATACTTGATGCTCGGCATGAGAGCCATGTGCATCGCGATGTGGTTTTTGCTTGCACGGTGCCCCACCTTGGCTCGATGCTTTGTGAATCGTGACATCGATGTGCGCATTGGAGCTGGGATTGTGGAGTCGTGAGCGGAGCAGGGGGTTGTTGAGAAATTGGAAGGTGGGGAGGTGACGGCATTGAAAATTGATGTGGTCGGTCGGGTAAGATTTTTGGGTGCCCACTGCCCAGGAAGAAGGGAGATGGGAAAGTTGGAAACGAGTATGTACTAGGTAACTACTGTACCTACGAAGCATTCAACAAAAAAGGAGATGCAAAATACATGTGGGAGGTGGGAAAGTGAGGATATACTTTCATATCGTCGTCGCACGTACTTACTTTTGATATGATACTAGAGAAAGAGGGGTCAAAAACTAGTGATTGGATGGTAGGTACTACTACATCTCTAGATACTTTTGAAACTACCTAGACAGAAACTCGTCCCTTGCCAAGCTTCTACAAGAACTATCCATCCATAACCACCAGAACCGATCAGGAAAATGACGCTATGGATGTATGGCATTGGTATGGTCGTTAATTAATTACCTACCTAGTCTTTCAAAATGCGGAGAAGAAAGCACTAAATTAGAGTTCGACGACGAGAAGAAAGCAAAGGGCGAGGATATAATATTGTAACAAATGAGTGTGAATCTGCATGAATCTGTATGAATCTGTATGAATCTGTATGAATCTGTATGAATCTGTATGAATCTGTATGAATCTGTATGAATCTGTACGATGGAGGTACCTACGTATGTATCTCACTCCCTTGTACCTAGGTATGAAGACCAGGAAGAGTTACGTCCTACCCCGAGTTATATCATATATGCAAGTATGAAATGTTTCGAGGGGATGTTGTATATTGTGATGTTACTAATCATACTAATCATGCGAATACTTCCTAAAAAAGGATTCGAAGTACTCGGTAGGTAGGTAGGTAGATGGGTAGGTAGGTAGGTAGGTAATAAGTCTCTTTGAATGGAAATATATATGTCGATGTATGTTTGAAGAGTAGACGCTAGAAACAAAAGAGTAGCGGAAAGACTCTTCCTTTCATATGGATATGGATACTCGAGTACATACAAATAACTTTAACCCAGTTTCCTAATAAGCTACCCAATCTAGATTAGTTTCCTTGATGCGGAATATCCCCCGATTAAATCACCACACTCTCAATCCTTTCCTCTTGCTAATCAATTCCGTTCCAGACCTTGGGAGCTTTACTAATGCAAGTGCACAGTTAACAACCCCCTTCTTTTAATTGGTTGCCACGAAAGGAGGGGTACTTTTCCGGATTTCTACTTATATATTTCCATTCCTCCATTTCTTGTGCCATCTTCCTTTGGATTCTTTCAATTCATCAAAAACATTAAAAGCTTTCTACCATTTCGCCATCACTCTTATCATCACTCTTATCATCATCTATATCCTCAACCATCTCAACACCACTACGTATACTACATATACTACCTACCTGTGCAACAACATCAATACAATAGCAATCATGGTTGCTGACGATAAGCCCGCCTCTACCTTCAAGTACAATGAAGCTCCAGTCTACACCACTTCCAACGGATGTCCAGTGAGACACCCAGAGGAGTTTCAAAGAGTTGGTACCAATGGTCCTCTTCTTCTTCAAGATTTCCATTTGATCGATTTGTTGGCACATTTCGATCGCGAACGTATCCCAGAGCGTGTTGTCCATGCGAAGGGTGCCGGAGCTTATGGAGGTAAGTTCTGGTCTTTTGCTTCATCCTTTCCGTCACCATCATATTGACATGTTATCTGTAGAATTCGAAGTTACACACGATATCAGTGATATCACCACCATTGATATGTTAAGCCAAGTTGGCAAGAAGACCCCTCTTGTCTCACGTTTCTCAACTGTCGGTGGTGAAAAGGGTTCTCCAGATTCGGCTCGTGACCCAAGAGGTTTCTCCGTCAAATTCTATACTGAAGAGGGTAACTGGGATTGGGTTTACAACAACACCCCTGTTTTCTTCCTCCGAGACCCAACCAAGTTCCCTCTCTTCATCCATACACAAAAGAGAAACCCTCAAACAAACTTGAAAGATGCTACCATGTTCTGGGATTACCTCTCAACTCATCACGAGGCTGTTCACCAGGTTATGCACTTGTTCAGTGACCGTGGTACACCATATTCCTACAGACACATGAACGGATATTCTGGTCACACCCACAAGTGGTTCAAGGCCGATGGTACCTTTAACTATGTTCAAGTCCACTTGAAGACCGATCAAGGAAGCAAGACTTTCACCAACGAGGAGGCCGGAAAGATGGCTTCGGAGAACCCAGATTGGCACACTCAAGACCTATTCGATGCCATTGAGAAGGGAGATTACCCAAGCTGGAGCGTCTTCGTTCAAGTTCTTTCCCCAGAACAAGCTGAGAAATTCCGCTGGAACATCTTCGACTTGACTAAGGTTTGGCCACAGGGTGAGGTTCCATTGAGACCATTCGGCAAAATGACCCTCAACAAGAACGTTGAGAACTACTTCGCCGAAATTGAGCAAGTTGCTTTCTCACCATCTCACTTGGTTCCAGGTGTCGAGCCATCTGCCGACCCTGTCCTCCAATCTCGTCTCTTCTCATACCCAGATACTCACCGTCACCGTCTCGGTGTCAACTACCAACAAATTCCAGTCAATGCTCCCCTCCGAGCTTTCAATCCATTCCAACGTGATGGTGCTATGGCCGTCAATGGAAACTACGGCGCCAACCCCAACTACCCATCTTCTTACCGAAAGCTCACTCAAAAGCCTGTCAAGGCTACCAATGATCATGAGCAATGGTCCGGTGCTGCTTTGAGCTTTTTGTCTGAGGTTGGTCCAGAAGACTACGTCCAAGCTAAGGGTCTCTGGGATGTTCTCGGCAAGCAAGAAGGTCAACAAGACAACTTCATCGGCAATGTATCTGGACACTTGGCGGCTGCTAAGGAGGACACTCGCAAGCGTACATATGACATGTTCAGCAGAGTCGACCCAACCCTTGGTGCCAAGATTGAAGAGGCAACCGAGAAGTTGGCTCCTGCTCCTGGTAGCAAGGCTGCTGGATCTGCTCAATCTCGCTTGTAGACTATAGTTGTGTTATAGGATAAGGCAAGGTAGAGAAGATTTTCACGTTGCGTTTGCTTTTTGCGATGATATCTATAATTATTTTATGAGAGACGAAGGAATAGGGAACGGTGATAGGATAGGTTATTTTGGTGGCTTTACAAAATTGGTTTTTATTCTGCAATGACATACCCCTTTTACGATTTCAGAGTCTCTAAGTTTTTCATGCCATTTGGTGATATTCAAAGATATTTTGTGAACATTCTCATACTCTATTTCATTCCGCCATTCGAGACAATAACCTAACCGAATCCATACAAAGGTAATGTCAACTCAACGCATTACGATTGTTCCAAACTTCCTTTTTAAAGTAAAACTTCACATCCCTCCGCGCTTGAAACCACAATTGTCAGGGTCTATTTTTCCAATCCAGATGGATACACTGAAATGCCAGTCGGTAGACGAATATTCGGAAAGTTCTGAATAATACGAACAATAGCATATGACGCCTCCATGAGCGCAAAATCTTCAATTTCACATTATTAGTCACAACCCATGATTCTTCACCAACAGAATCATCACTCACGACCAAGACAAATCCGCGGTCCGCCATGAAACGGCATAAAACCCCATCCCACCCCTTTTAATGCCGATCCCCCCCATCGCTCTGCACGGAAGGAAGATGTTTGCGTCGTCGCTGTTGATGGCCTTGCTTCGATGCATGAGGTAGGGTGAGAAGCATACGCCGGTGTCGCTGGGGATCAGGAGGGGAGGAGCGTGGTTTGAAGGGCGACGCGGACGTTGTGGGGGATTTGGGTGTGGAGTCTGGAGGTTGGGTGGGGGGTGTTAGTGTTTTTTTTTTTTTTTCTTTTTTTTTTTTGAGAGAGAGAGAGAAGGAGGGAATGGTAGGTATGTAGTGGATTCGGGTAGGGGAATAGTTACTTTCGTTCAAGACACATTTCAGAAACGGCATTTTGGATATCTGGGCCCGCGAAAGTGGTGTATCGTTGGAAATGACGAGGTCTATCTCTTCACGTAGACGCTGGAGTGTGTTTGGATGTCGCACGTACGAGGTTAAAGCTGTTTTATATCACATCATCAATCAGCTATCAGCCATCAACATCCTCGCCCAGAAACCCGCATTACGGCACCCAGCTAGAAGGTCAAATGTACCCATCTATCAATTACTGGATGGAGTGGACAGGGACAAGAATACAATCTCGCACTCGCAAAGTCCAACTCAAAAGACACGTCGTGGTATCTCTCCCCGCGAGCAAAACATGCAGAAGCTGATCCCGCACCTCCTCGTACAAATCGGGGATAAAGGGATGGCGTCCAACGCCGCATCGCCGTTTTTTCTCTTGTCAAGCACTGCTTGATGGACGAAGTGCGCGGCGTATTGCTTGATTTCGCGACAGGCGGATGTGTATTGAAGGGCGTGTACAGTCAGTAGAGATTGGAGAGACGGAGACGGAGATGCAGAGCGGAGATGAGATGAGGGAGGTGGAGGAGAAATTTTTCGCGAAGAGATCGTGTTTGGATTGGGAGAGGGGGGAAAGGGAGAGGGAGGAAAGGGAGAGGGAAAGAGGATAAGAGCTCTCGCCGAAGAGAAGAGAAATAGTGGTTGGTTTCCAGTGTGAAGCGGAAGAGGAAGAAAAGGGGTTGCAGATCAATCGTTCCGCTACGGGAAGAGAGAACCGCGAGGATTTTTTCGAGAGGCGCAGAGAAGATTGAGAGGTTTTGGGATTGGGATTGGGATTGAACGCGCGAGAATTGGCGATGGAGGATCGAGTGTGAGTATTTCCAGGAGTGGGAGTCTTGGGTGAAGATTCCTTCGCCGATCATGGGTGAGTTCTGAGCGGTGGGAGCCGAGTCCGAAGTCTGAGGGGCTGGGTTAGGGGATGGGATGCTGGGGAATATCATACGTATAATTTCGAGTGGAGGAAATAAGAAGAAAGGGAAAAGGAACTCTACCTTTGAATCTCGTTCCCAATATCGCTTCCAAATTCTCCGGATCCGTAGTCAAAAACCCATCTGACCCAAACGCCTCACCTGAAACGTGGAACCCAAACCCATTTTCTCAAAATGCTCTGCTTGGAAAGAGAGCAGATGCCTGGAGAGAAGCGCATCGTATTGGCGTTTGAGGATGTTGAGACCCAGAGGCTATTTGTAGAGGAGGGTTTTCTGCGCAGGCTGGCAGTTGTGGGAGGTGCTGAATTGGGTGTTGAAGTGGGATTGGGGGGAGGAGTCAGTTATTGGGGGGTTGGAGGAAGGGGGATTGGGAGTACGTACGGCTTGTTGACTTTTTCGTTTGAGGTGGTTGGAGTACCAGTATGAGAGGAGGATGATGAGGATGAAGAGTTTGAAGATCATGTTTGATGGTTTTCGTTGGATGCTGGGTGTGGTGTGGTGTGGAGAAGATGAAGAAGTTGGATAGCTGAGATGAGGGGGAGAAGGTGTTGTGTTGCGAATCTGTGATGGTCTGGGTGATGTTGCGATTCATTACGATTTACCATGTTGTTATAGATGGAATTAATATTGTGAGGGAATTTGCGTATCCATTGTTTACTATTCTCAAAAGGTATATCAAAGAATGTCAATGTCAATGTACTGATTTGTGTATTCACTGGGGCTCGTAGATGGAGGACTATCTATATGCGATATATTATAATATGTAAATTGACCAGGAAAAGTAATATAAACGAATAGTCCAACTGCTTTTATCAAGCACTAACGGCATTCAAAATTATAGCTGCAGCATCCGATTTTCAGCAGGTAGAGTATCTAGGTATTCAGATCTAAGTCAGAGGGAACGGAATGTGTATGTTTCATTTAACTTGAAAGATGTGTAGAGAGAAAATACCGATATGGTATGGCGTTGTAATCTCATTATGCCATCTATTTCTTGGGATTGGGAGAGCGAATTGTAATTATGATGATGAGGAGAGATGTGATAAGTTGGAGTGAGGTGAGGTTGGCTGGAGAGGGAAGGGGAAGGGAGAGAGATGTATTGGGATTATCGAACTTATTCGTGTCTTCCAGTACGGAAAGATGCAATAATCTCCTTGTATTGATGAGGAAATGGAGAATAGATTACTTATGGAATTGTCTTGATGGATTCAAAAGATGAGACTCTTGACCTTTCTTAAACGAGAGATTGTTTTGCTCATTACGAGGACTGGATACCTAGATATCTAAAAGTTATTAGCGAAGGGGGAAGTGGTTGGTGCATGAGTGAAAGATATATCATATCTACATTTGGTTTCGATATTTTCTGTTGGATAGAAGTAAGCTTATCTTGCGAGATAATATTGCGTTTGAGTAGGTGATCGATAATAAGAAGTGATATGAAGAGAAAGAAGCATATCTATAATTTTATGTAAGCTTTGTGCTTCATACGCACGCTCCTAGACACTATTAGACGATTCAGACAAGATCTAGGGACTCGGAGTGAAAAGTTCATACTTGTTTGGTTTCAACTCAATATCGATACCTGCCTAATCGAAGGCTATAGCTAGATACTTACAAGGTTTGTTTGTGCTACTTTTGATGCTGTGGTTGTGATATCGATTAGCACATAAATACTTCGACAGGGGCATGAGCGAGGAGGGGATTTTAGTACCCGCTTAACTTTCTCGTATATTAAGTCCTGTACTACAGTAATCCATCCAGAATCTAATGGAAAAGACTATTGAAACATTCGTTCGTTTCAGACTAGCGTTACGCACAACTATAGTTGGCTGTAATTTTCCCAGCGGAAGATAGTAAGCCAGGGGCTAAATCACCAACTGTTAGGACTTCTGTGATAAAATACAAAAGACTGATACAATTCCATGCCCACAATCAAATTGTGGCACACTGATGTTACGCGATTGCTATCTGCAAGGTCTTGAGTGTCACCCCTGAGGTCTATCAAGTGGCTTCGATATCGCACTGCCTCCTGGTCTGTCGGCCGAGGCCTAGTGGCCACACCAAACTTCTTACAGCTGCCTTTACGCAGCGTATCAGCGTGCCAGCTTTCGGTTATTTATCTGCTTTAGGGTCGTGTCGTCATTGACGAAAACAATGGTATTCCAATTGTATATTATGAAACGAGAAACGAGGCTTTTCATACTGTGGCTGAATCAGCTTCGCCCTCCAGCTGCCCTTAAAGAATTTGCTAGGGTACTGTGTATGTATTCGATCACCTTCAGCCTGTCGAAAATGCCCCTGCGTTGACAATGCAAGTAGTTTATATTCAACGGCATTATTCATATGGACATAGTAATTAGCATCATCTCAATAATTCATAATCTTATTACGCATAATGTCAGAACTGGCTGCTCTTACGGAAGTCTTTTGTGGAGAGAACCCCATTGTTGAGTAAGTGTCTGGCTCTGAACTACAATATCTACAACTAGCTAAAGCGCCCTAGTATTGTCGCAGTCCATGGACTTAATGGAGACTCGGTCAAGACATGGACATCAAAGACAAACAATAAGTTCTGGTTAGGCGATGCAGATATGCTCCCCTTGGCCATGAAGCAATCTCGAATTCTGACATTCAGATATAATGCTGCCGTCACTGCGCTTTTTGGAAAAACTTCAGCGGATCGCATCCTTCATCATGCTCAGACGTTGATAGCGGAATTGGTAGCCGATCGTCAGGTATGTAGAAATTCCCACGCCGAGGATACGAAAATTCACATGTGCTGCAGATCAATGATGCCGAACACCGTCCCATTATTTTTATATGTCATTCACTGGGTGGCATCATCGTCAAAAGGGTAGGGAAGATGTGAAATTCTTCTATCAGCTCTGGCTCACAAATATTTATAGGCACTGGTGTATTCATTCAGTCGAACCAGTAAAGCGGTTGAGCACCTTCACTCTATATTTGTTTCCACCTACGGAATACTCTTTATGGGAACTCCGCATAATGGAAGCAGCCTGACGAGCTTGGCATCCATGAGCCGACGAATGATAGATGCACTTCTGCCGTCGAAAGTAGTTAGTACCGATGGGCAACTGCTAGACGCGTTGAAGGAAGGGTCCGAAACGCTCCAAAATATCACCGATATGTTCATCCCGTTGATGAAGCAATTCCGAATCTATTTCTTCTGGGAACAGCAGAAGACAGATTTTGGGACAAAGTTAGATTACGTATGTATTGAATTCTTCAATCCGCTCTATAAAAGCCTCCAGGCTGATATCGATTAGGTCGTAGAAATTTCATCTGCCGCTCCAATCCTGGACAGTATTGAGAGAGCTGGACTGCCTTATGATCATTCCAATATGTGCAAATTTGCGTCTCGATCTGCAGGTGGATATACGATTGTGGTGGCAGCATTGATGCGATATTCTAGAGATGCACCGAAGACGATATCGCGGAGATGGGATAATGCAGCGGTGATGTTTATGTCGGCGCGGAAGAACGAGGCGGCAGAGTTGTGCGGTTGAGGTAGTGGAATGGGTCGCAACGTATTTGTATTGGGATGCTTCGGCCGCGAGAGCATCCGCTGGCTTTTGGTACGGATTCTGAACTTTATGCTATTATTATCATTATCGTGCTCGTTAAAATCTTCCCGTACTTATAAATGAACATTGCATCCTTCTTTGATTGAAACCACCAATGTCATTGTCTGTTTCTCCACCCCAGTTAACTCCACTTTCTCGTTCGCAGGTAACTTTACTCCAGGATATTTTCGTAGTATTCTTACAACTGTATAAGCGGCCTCTGTAAGAGCGAAGTCCACTTGAAAAGAGTCAGCGTTGCATAAATTGCCCCTTCATACTCGGTTAATTCCTTTTTTTTGCATTTGTCCTTGTAATTGGGCTTTGCCTCATAATTTGTTTTGCCGTATGTTATCATGTAATAAATCAGACAAGAACTTACTACCGAGACAGACTCTTGGTCCCCCATTGAACGGCAAGTATCCCCATTTCTGATTTGTTGGATTGTCGTTCATCGGCATTTGTTCATTCCATCTCTCGGGTCGATAGATTTCAGCATCCATGCCATAGAGATCTGGCCTTCTATGCATAGTATAGACACTGTAGGCAACGGCGGTCCCCTTTTTGATGAAAATCGGTGATTTTCTATCAGGTCCTCCTCCAGTTGGTAGGATTGTATCGTTCAAAGAAGTTCTCGTATTGACAGGGACAGAAGGATACAGGCGAAGGGCTAAGACATATTTTAGCATTGATCGTTTGACTTTTACCAATAATAACTCACTTTCCTTGAGAACATTTTGAAGGTATTTCATATTTCGTAGCTCTGTTCTATTTAACTCTGATGCATCTCCAAGCAACGCGACCTCTTTTTGTAATTTGGCTAGAACTTTCGGATGGCGTACAAGGAGGAAGCTTGTCAGTAATGTTAGCGGAACCTTTTAATAACAATACTTTAACTCACAATGTCCAAGAAAGAAGGCAGGCGGTGGTATCTCTCCCAGCAACAAGGATATTGACAATCTGTCCTCGCAGTAACTCACGATCGCCTTGCATACTCTTATCTACTGATCTCAAGAAGTCGTATTTCTTATCGGTCCCAGCCTCTGAATCTAGTGAAAGATTGTGTTCGATAATTTGGTCAGCGAATTCGTGCACTTTGCTACAGGCTTGGGAGAATTTCTTCCCTCCAATAAGCCAGTAAAGATCCAAGAGCCGAAATCTCTTTACAACGTATTCTTGTGCAGCATTAAATGCACCTGCAAAATCTTGTTCGTTTGTTGAATCTGGGGATTTGAGACTATGGACAGATTGTCCGAACAAAAATGCAGTGGTTGTGTCAAGTGTGAGACGAAAGAACAATGGCTGTAAATCAACGACCCCTCCTTCTTTAGGGAGAGCATCAAGCAACTCATCAACAGATTCTCTAAAGACTTCCAGATCTTCGTATTGCCTATGGACAAAATGTGGTCTAAGCAAGTCTCTGGAATGTTTCCAAGCTTCGCCGTCCTGAATAAATATTCCTTCGCCAAACATTGGGAAGGAGATAGCACGCCGCGGTCCCATTCCCCAATCTATTTCAGGCATTTCAAGTCAGTAAGATTAAGCAGATAGATATGGGAAGGTAATGGAGAGCCAGACCCGAAAATTTTGTGGACATGATAGCTTCCAAATTGGCGGGATCCACGGTACCATAGGCCGGAGTCAACAAGAAAATTTGCTTCAGAGTATACCCGGTCTGCCTGAAGTGGAAGAGAAACAGCTCCATAAGTCTCGATTCATTATCGGCTCGAAATATCTGCTCTAGACGATCGATTCCAAGAGGTCTCTGGTTCTCGAGTAATGGAGGCGAAAGGCAACCAAGATTTTTTATAATAGCGTGTGTTTCCTATCATTATAGCCTCATTAGTATCGTTATATAACTATTTCTAGGGACTTACCTTATTCTCTTGGATGCGACCGATTACCCATCGTAAACAATAAACTAAGATCCCAAGTATAACCGTGTTTAATACAAAAGCCATCTTGTCATATGGGATTTTTTTTGAAAGAGCGAATAAAAATCAGGCAATGAGCAATATTCTAGTAGAAATCAAAAGCATAGATCAGAGGAAATAATTTGAAGTTCAAAAAGCTATTGAATGACCGTTATACAATATTGCGTGTTGATGTAGGAACATAACCAAAACACAAAAGCGAAACGCGACAAGACTACCAACTAAGAACACTCCAATAACGCTCATTACTAGATTTGAAAGCTGCGAGTAGAATTAAAGCCTGTTAAGGGTGTGTATTCCTTCCTCATCGAGCTCATCATAGTTCCAACCGTTAGATGTAGATAGACACTTATCTTCATTTTAATCCAACATTGAATCTACAGAGGTACATCAGCTCTTGATAATACAGGGGGGTGATTGGAGCGTATAGTGGATCATACTCTGTATATGCCCTGCTCTGTCGGTGCGCGCTGCATATGGATTATCAGGCTAATTAATATATGCAATCGGCCCAGACCTACTGAATTGGAAGAAGAAGGGTTTCATCGCAGAAATCTTTACATTTGAAAGAACCAATGGAATGTCCAAGTACCATGCCCGCGCCTGTGCCTGGCCCAGATTTAAACGCCCGTTTGGTGCACGCTCATGACCTACACGGTTAACCGTGCCGCGAGACTGACTCTTAATGTAAAATGAGAAGGGTAGAAACCGGACATCACCCCTCGATAAGCTCTCTACGGAGTATATATATCTGATCCGATTGGTGTATCATGTACGGAGATATACGCATCCATTTTCTTTACTTCTCTACCCCAGCTTCCAAGGATTAGTTTGCATGGGCAGAATGATATTATTGGCGGGAAAACGGAGGCGGTGAGTCGTAAATAGATGACAATAGTGATGCTGATGGTTTGAATGGAATGCTAATATGAAATCGATAGTAAAGGTGGTGTGTATACAGCAAGAGGTGAGTCCATGTTCAAAATGATACGCTGTTTGCGTAGTCATGAAGTGTGATAACCGGATTAATGCCTTGCTTGGGTTCCCTACCACATTCAGCGAGATAAGGCTTTTCCTTATTCCAACGATCACTCTCATCAATACAAAACTATGATTCAGTATGGAAATTAAACTCATTGCGGAGCCAGAATCACCAAATGTCGAGTATGTTGAGCTGCTGATTAACGTTGTGTCTTTACGCTAATTTGACATAGTTTAGTGGCTGTCCATGGTCTCTGCGAATCATCATCTGAGACTTGGATGAACCCGCAAAAGCATAAAGCTTGGCTTCGAGACCCAGTTCTATTCCCATACCACACTCTCCGAACTCGAGTCTTATCCTTCGAATATGATCCGAGCCGCTTTACAATTCCTGGAAGGGGAGGAACTATATCAAATGGCATCTTAGATCTCGCAACGAATCTCATCGCCGAGCTTGACTCGTACAGACAAGCAAATGATGGTGCGGAACATGCACATCGTCCTATCATCTTTATATGTCACGGATTTGGTGGTCTCTTGGTAAAGCGAGCTCTTGCTTTATCATGGAGCAAAACGAAGTCTGGAGTTTCACATCTTCGAGCCATCTATATATCAACTCATGGTATCTTATTCATGGGAACTCCCCACAATGGCCTAGATGAAACTTTGATACTGAACTCGGGGATTGACAAATATCCTGGCCCTAGTCAATTCATGCTCAACCTTCTCACTGGCTCGGATACTATTAAAGAAATCACAGATTTGTTTGCTCCATTGGCCAAGAGATTTGCCATTTACAACTTCTGGGAGGGACTAGAAGCCTTTTTTGATGACCAAGCACAACAACCAGTTTATATTGTAGATGCGCTATCAGCTGCGCCAATCTGGGAACAAGTTGATAAATGTGGAATAATGGCAAACCACTCAGGGATGGTCAAGTTCAGTAAAAAGAGCGATCCTGGGTATATTGTCGTCTACCAGGCTCTTGAAAAGTATATCAAGGCTGCTCCACGAGTGGTAAGTAGAAGATGGGAGCAAGAAATGGAGCGAGTTATCGCGGAGCGCAAACAGGAGGCGGATGATCTTCTTCAAGAAATACCTTCCTCGCCTTCACAAATCCAAGCGATTGAACCGTATATCAATGTGCACTATATGGTACATCGTTGTTCTAGTAGTTATTTTGTAGGTAGAACAGGTCAAGCAGACAAGGTGAAGGAGATGTTTGGTGACATTACAACAAACCCTCGCTCCAAACATAAAATATTAGTAATTCATGGACTTGGTGGCTCTGGCAAGACACAATTTTCGCTGAAATATATAGAGAACAATCGTCACAGGTACGATCTTGATTTTCAATCTCGATCAATATCGGAGTTTTGCTAATCTTTGCAGGTATTGGGGAATTTTTTGGATTGACTGTAGCAACGAATCAGCTGCGGAGAAGGGTTTTGCTTCCCTTGGGGAGAATGCACAAAAAGCGTCTTCACTTGAAGCGGGCATGCATTGGTTGTCGAACCAATCGACATCATGGCTTCTCGTCCTCGATAATGCAGATGATCCAGAAATGGATCTGTCTAGATTTTTCCCTGCTGGCGGCAATGGCCACATATTGGTGACGACACGCAACCCTGGTGTAAGGATTCATAACACGGTTGGGTATCTTAAGTTTCAGGGAATGGATCCAGAGGAAGCAATTACATTACTTCTCAAGCTAGCTTACCCCGAAAAGGAACCCAAATTCCCTCTGGCCCCGCAAAATCGACAAATGGCTGAGGGAATCGCTTCTGAATTAGGTTATCTAGCACTCGCTCTTACTCATGCTGGCGCTACAATTCGTCAGAATATATTCACACTGGAAAGGTATTTGAAATACTACCTTGGCCACCGCAGGAACATGATTCGCTCTCGTTCAGTCAACAGCTGCACAGATGCTAACATTATATCAACCTGGGAAATTCCATTTGAACGGATTGCAAGCAAGAATTCACTTGCCCACAAAGATGCTGTGGAATTGATACAACTTTTTGCTTTCATGCATTTCGATTCTATCCCAGAGCAATTACTGCAGAGATCTTCGGATAGTATAAGGAAATTGAAAAGTTCCCTCGCTATTTACCCAGCTATTCTTAAGGTCAAATCGATGTGGAATGAAGATTCCCAAATTCGATTTCGCTTAGCAATGAATGTTCTGTACGACCATTCAATCATTGATAATGACCACGAAAAAAAAGTCTGCTCTTTACATCCGGTTGTCCATCGTTGGGCTAGGGATCGACTTAACGATACGCAGCAGAAAGACTGGCTGGGATGTGCGAGTTCAATCCTAGCCCATTCAATCTCGTCAAATTTCGAGATGTCGGAAAGGAAGTTCAGGAAGCAACTTTTGCCTCATATTAGTTCTTGTATCAGTGCCTTAAAAGATATGTATGGATCTCTTCCAAACAACATCGAGCAAGCCGCAGAATTGGAGAAATTTGCTCTAGTCTACGCAGAGAACGGGCAGTGGAAGCATGCCAAGCCACTTCAGGAGAAGGTTGTAAGGTTCCGGGTCAAAGTGCTGGGTAATCAACACCACTCGACCCTTCAAGGGCAGCGAAATCTTGCAAGTATGCACTGGGATCTTTTCGAAGTACAACAAGCCTTGCGACTCCAGTCACAAATACTCCGAGCTCAGTGGCGATCACGCCCTTCGATCTTTTCTTGGATAAAATGTCCTTTGAATCCAATACATACTTCATATTGTGTTGCTCTTGACGAATTCACTCGCACTTTGTGGCTCAGCGGGCAGCGAGAAAAATCACGTCAGACTGGGCAGCGTGCAGTATATGGACTCACGAAAGTACTGGGACATGATGATCCACAAAGTCTGAACGCCATGTTCAATCTAGCACGAACATATTTACATCTTGGCGAATTTGAGAAAAGTCAAGAGCTGCTTGCGCAGGTTGTTCAAAAGAGGGAACACTGGTTTGGAAAGGAACATCCTGATACGTTAATGGCGCGGAACGAGAAAGCTATGATCTCAGTTATATTGAAGCAGGACTTGCTTACAGCGGAGAGTGAAATTTCCGATGTTCTTAAGGCGCGGAAGCAGACTTTGGGAGAAGAGCATGCGTACACCTTGTGGTCAGTGAATGATCTATCCAAAGTCTACTGTGCAACCGGTCGCTGGGGCGAGGCAGTCAAGAATTTGCAAGATATTCTACCAGTTGTGGCACGTACTTTGGGAGAGACACATGTCGGGATGATAATGACGAAATCCAATTTAGCACGCGCATATATTGGATGCAACAGATGGACCGATGCAAGAAACATCATTCAGCCATTACTGAGTGAAGTTCCATCCCAACATCCAGATTGGTTTCATATCAATCAAGAATACATCTCTATTCTACTGCGCCTCGATGATATGGACGGAGCCGAACGCAGTTGTAACGCGGTGCTTGATAACCTAGTTCGATACTCTACGTTTGGACTAGCGCATCCATATACCTTAAGCATTGCGAAACAACTCGAGAAGATCTACAAAACGCAATGGCGTTACGAAGATAGCGATAAACTGATCCAGAGATTTCCTTCGCTGAAAAGATCTTCGCATCCGAACAAGAATCTTCCTTCCAACCCCGATTTGCTCCCTGGTACGAAAACTATCTCGACACCAACGAATCGCAAAATCTATCACTCCAAGACCTTTTAACGGCCAAGAACACGAATTTCTCGCCCATCAGAGACGTCTGCTCTACTAGTCCAAGTAGCTCACGTATTGAAACGATTTTGGCAGTCGTAAGATAACGAGGCATCGATTCGACCCCTCACAAAGATATACTATCCTACCAAGGCAAACTTTGAGAGAAAACTGTCCTCTCTTATCAAAATTAAGAAGCACTGGTGATTATTCTTCCCGTACATAGATTTACTTCATACCACCAGAGAAATCGCAAGACCAAAGCAGGATATTTCTATAGACCTCCCCATCTTCGGAAGCGAGAAGGGTGATTATTTTGTATCTATACTAGGTATTCAAATATATATACTATTCTGATATCACTATAATGATAACACATAACACATCAATATCAATCTAATCCTAATACCCGCCCATGAAGATCCCGTGCGCGAGGAATTTTATAGTGAAGCATACAACTTGCTCGGTTTCCATGAAGTAAGATCCTCAATCTCAATCTCAATCTCAGGCCATCCCCTCTACATACACCGCACCCATCAATCAACTCTTTCCCTCAACACGATGCAGTCAATACCCATAGTAGCCTGGCTTTATTTATACAAGTAGAAAAAGAAGAAGAAAAAAAGACAGAAATTCTCAAACGAGACAACAGTAATCCTATCATCTCCAACCCGAACCCGAAAAGCCACAGGAGGAAAAACGCACTTGCACATTCCCCGTTCCAGACTCATCGCGAGCGCCGAAGCAACTCTGGGTGGAAATCAACATGTGTACATCAACATCCAAGTATGAATATTGAGTACCTAAGCGAAAATAATACACTTTTAGATTCCGCTATAACCCAGATATGTACTTACAGAAAGTCTTTAATTACAATTACAATCATTTCCTTCCAAATGACTCTGACGATAGTTCCTCTTCATAACGAGGAATTCAGTCTTCATTGTTTTCCCAAAGCGGCGTACACATTTTTCCTATTCGGCTTGTCGACTGACACTCCTCCTACTCATGCCTAGATTCTGCAACTCCATACCCTCGCCCAACCCCCCACTCCTCCCTTCACCTTTCCAACTTTCTCTCCTCCTCGCCATTCCCGAACCAGGACCACCGGGTTGAAATTCTCCTCGCTCGGCTCGTCCTTCATCACTATCACCCTCTGTTTCCAGCACTCCTTTCCCATTTTCTCCACTTTCTCCAGAATTATTATTCGCCAGTACACCCTCCCGACCAACATCAGCACCAGTCGAGAATCCCTCCTCCTCAATCTCTTCTCCATGATTACCCCCCACACTAATCATCGTAAACGGACTCGCTGTCGCTCCATCCAATACACTCAATTCTTCTTTCGTGAACCACCTTGGTAGTGCCCAAATTCTAACAGGAATCAACGCCAAAATGATGACTGGGAACCCAACTGCTGCGATTGTCTGTGTGATGGCAAACGTGGCTCCAAAGCCAAAGAGTTGGATTGCGACGAATATCCAGATGGCCGATCTGCGGGGAAGATGTCGCAAGGGATCAGACGATGGAGTCAAAGAGGAATCTTTGAGAAGGAAGAGAATTTTAGTAGTTATGCCATTGCCGAGGAGAGCTTGGATACCCATAACGAAGAAGAGACCTGCCAAGACACCTTGGGGAATGAGATGAATGACTATGAGGAGTGGGCCAGTCATGGTTCCTAGGGTTAAGAGACCTTGGGCTAGATTGCTCACTCGTTGCTCGACGACGTGGGATTTAACTGTTTTGAGATGACCCTTTGAGTCTCCTGATTCGTCGGTATCGGCAACAAGTTTGGTGACGCAAAGAGACTCAGTGTGGAATGGAGCTTGTGGAATAAGACCGTTCGGAAAAGGAATTCCTAACAGGCCTGCTATACCGGTCGTTAGACCAAGGAGAAAAATATCCCAGTGGAAACCAGCAGGCTTTCGAAGGGGAAATTCAGTTCCTTGGGCTATCAGAGAAGATACTATGCCAAGTCAGTAACGGAAAATTGTTGTTGGGATGGATAATTCATCATTTACCATTATGATCGAAGTAAAACAAGATTGTGAGTAAAATGGCAAATGGTATAGCAATAAAAACATCCGAAACTCTAACGTCCCAAAAATGTACAAACCATCCTCGATCGGTTGTCGGATAGAAGGCTCTACTGGTAGGTAGTGTACTTAGATCTATATCTCCCATCTTACCAATGTGTACAAAGCCAGTAAAAAATATGATAGTAAGAGGAGTTCCGTAATCTTTGATAAAAACTCGAACATAGTGTTGAAATAATGGACTGTCTCCAACAACACCGCACAAGAATGCAACGATGGTGACGAGTAGAGCAATAACAATAGAAAGGTAAAACGGCTCACCCGAGCCTTGACGGGTAAGGACTTGGATACCTTTCTGAAGGTAGATGAAAGCTACGTAGAATCCAAAGATATCGCAAGAAAAACGCGTGACATAACGAAGTCCGTTGCATGAATTGGTAATGGCGAGTATCCAATGCATCACTAGAGACCATCTGCTTCCGTTAGTCTTCGCACACACAACAAATTATGAGATATAACAGATACTCACAATCCAATTAGTGCTAAAAATGCAAAATAATTTGCCCCCGTGGGAACAATAATATCGTAAACAGTACTATCTATATTAGCATCAAATCAAATGCGATCTTTACACAGTCATACATACTAGTTGAACACAGTGATTGGCCCGGTAACCCCTACAATAACCAAAGGTTGAGCGGCAAATACAGAGAAAACCACTGATCCCAAGACCGAAGCAAGGAGGACTTCGTTGACTCCATAACTCATATTCGTCTTTGTAAACCTTATATCCTGATCAGACCGAATTTCATCATACATGTCGACAATAGACTTACATATCCAAAGAAAAAGCCAATGCAGGCAAGATACTACCAAGAAGTAATTAGCTCATTGCCAAAGGCCGTATATCCAGCCCTTTTCCATGACCTTTCTTCTCAGAACCCGGAGAATCGACCTTCAAATGGATTATCAACGACGTACTTCGCAAAATACATATAGATCGTGGCCGGCACAACTCTATAATCCCAAGCATCCGTCCAATCACTCCAGTAATATGGCGCCCTTCTCTTCAAATCATTGACCATGCCTCTAAAAAATCTAATTTTATACCATTTCGGGACATGCTTGCTTTTCGCGGAAGCATTTGTATTCGCTGCCTGCAGACCATCATATTCCTTGGGCGCCTCCGCACTACGCGATGTAGGATTTGTATTACTGATATTTAAGGAATTGAATCGATTGCGCCAGGATTTGGCTGTAGAGGTATTTTGGGGAACTTGATGGGAATTGATGGCGGAGTTGTGAGGGAGAGCACTTGGGAGCGAATAAGAATTGGAGGGTTGAGTAGCCATGTTGATTATTTTTTTTTAATTCGGAGAGTTAAAGATTGAAGGGCAGCAATTGAGACATCGAGATGTATACCTAGTATATACAGGGGATTTGGAGGAGAGTTAGGTTGGAGATAAGTTGAAGATAAGTTATTAATTGAGATGTCAATTTGAATTTATTTGTTTTCTGGAAGGCGGTCAAACGGATATGGAGTCCCTTGGCATATTGTGGGGTATTTCGATGATGATGATGATGATGATGATGGGATGAAATCCTGGCGTCGCCTAGAACCTTTCAGGTCTCAAGTTTAGCCGACCAATCACATGCAACTGAACATCACACTACAGCAGTTGAGATTTTCAATAAATTCGACTCAGAAGATAATAACAATCCGAAGAAAGAAAATGCTTTAACCTACCTACTTGCTGTCCACGTCAGGACAGGATGTTTGTGGTATAAAGGCACGATGAAGCTGTACTTTCCAAACAAAGCAGGATATAAGATGATGTGTTTGTAAACCTTTCACCACATAATTCTTCTGTAAAGTAGATAGCAGAATATTCCAGCCCAAGTGTAACAAAGCCTTGCTTAGAAATTGCTATTTACTATTATTGAATCATTTTTCCATATCGAATATGGAATATTGGGTATCTTCATACGTGTGGTTGTATCTGTCGTAAAAAATCATCGCAATCGTATTGTGAAACCTAACGGCTGGAGAGAACTGCTCTCTTCGTTTCATCTTCCTTCACCCATGTCTCAATCCTTTCACCTACGTTTCCGACCAAACTTTCGTATTGCGGCCCTGGAAAGAAAAGACCACAATGTGCCCCAACTTCATCTACTCCTTCCATATAAACTCGGACCCAGCAGACGTCTCTCTTTCCTCCAGATTCCGCAGGCAGCATACAGAACTTCCTGTCCTTCTTCGGCTTCTCCGTCTTCTCCGTCTTCTCCACTTTCGCGACATTTTCTTTTCCTTTAGGGGACTTAGAATTCAATGCAGCTTGCCGCTTTTCCTCCTCTTTTTCTTCCTTCAATCTCTGCTTCTCTTGAGCTTTCATTCGTTTCTCCTCTTCTTGTCGTGCTTTCTTTTCTCTTTTCTCGATTAACTTGCGACGATCTTTGAGAGCACTTTCGCGGTCTTTCAAGGCTTGAGTATAAGCTTTCATAATGCGTTTGTGCTCCTTTTCCGCGATTTTTCGAGAGTCCTTGTCTGTGTAAAGGCTGAGGTCTATTGGCTGAGGTTCCGTCGGCGCATCAGGAATAGGAGGAAGTGGAGGCTCGGTGGATATTGTAGGTACAGTAGAGTTCGCATCGTTCTTGTCATCAGCATGCGATAAAACCACCACAGGTATCTCTTCGTCTTCTTCAATGGGCATTGAATCGATGTGTTGCATTTCTGGTAGTGGTGGCGCATCTTCTTGAACTCCTGAGCTATCACCTAGCTCTTGCATCTGTTCCTCGACTTGCTGCACATGTATATCGTCGGCAGAATCAATATTGGGATCCGTCGTAGTTGTGTTTTCCACTGATGTTAAAGGCTGAATCTCAGAATCTTGTAGACTTAGACTACTCATTCCTGCCTCCGATGCGGCAATATTGTCATTAAGAGGTACTTCGACAGCAGAACTTTTTGGCGGCTTCAGCCGACCAGTACTTGCAGTATAGTAATTTACGAATCTTCTTTGAAAGCTTTGATTTCGATTGGCAGGATTACTTCGCTCAGCAAGATCATCAACATCTTCTAGAGCACGCAATTTGGAATAGCGATTCATCATGCCAGGATAATCTGCTAGACAGCTACCAAATTCTATATGGGACATAAAATACTGTGAAGTTGCCGAGGTTAAGCCACTCAGCTTTCCTGTTAGCCCAACACCTTCAGCATGCTTGTTGACGAAATGTAAGAAGTTTTCGAATCCTTTTCGTTCCGGTATCCTAATATCATTGGGGAAAGGGGCGTTGTAATATGGATCATTGGGTGGTGGGGTAGCCAAAGATGTCATACTTTGTGCATTACTTCCTTGATACATCGTATTCGAATCTGAGAGAGTGGCTGCAAGACTTGCTGTAGATGCAGGACCATTTATCGACGGCGAACTTGCCCCGGCGGGTGACAACGAACCGGTTCTTGAACCTGGAGGATCTGGCGCGGGCCTAAAGAGACTTCCAATTCCACTAACCACAACTCCAGGATGCATACCTAGGAATGGGGTATCAAAACTAATTGTTCCCAAAATTCTATGGCGAAAGCGTCGATTTGCTGGAGGAGATGGTGATTGAAGAACAACCTCAGCAGAAAGAATCCCTCCCATACTATGACCAAGTAAGATGATGTCTGTTAGAGCATCTTCATGAGGCTCTAGCCTGATAACGGACTTCGATTAGCCGTGAAAAATGACAAGAGAAGATATACTTACCAAACGCTAAAATCATCTCGTGCAAAATTGATCGCTTTTCTGGACTTGTACCTAGGATAAATCTTTGTGTGGACGACATGAGTAGCTTCAAGCGTAATACTTAGAAGATTATGAACATGAGCAGGAAAACTTTGGAAACTGGTTTCGTTGCCCATAAACCCGTGAATATAGATGAGTAGTAATTTGCGACGGCCATCTCGATTAGATTCCGAAGGCACTAAAGAGTGTGTAGAAGATGATCTTGGATCGTTTGAACGCCACTGCTCTGAAATAAGTTCACTCCTCTTTGCATCGTCATCTGTGTAGGGCGGAGGGGCCTGAATAGACTCTCCTCGTGGTGGAAGTGGGGGCGGGGTATCATATCTTGTTGTTGGAACTTCTGAACGATCTTGACGAGCTTTCTCTGCTAACTGAGCAGGAGTAGCCATGTTCTTTTTAAAAAGAGGAGGGGGGCGGGGCTTCAAGTGGTATTATCTCAAGGTACTTTATTCGAAAGTAAAATGTGATTGCGATCTGAATATAAATCACTGTATTGTTGGTGATTTGTGTTCATGCAGAGATCATACGCGGATTGATACGCGGATTGATAGGTTTCAAGGTTTCCGTCAGGGGCTGTACAGTGTGCCATTATACCTCGTGATGCAAAATGCCAAATGATGTCTTTATGCGCCACCAAACGAACTTGTTGCATACCTAGGTAGACATTCACAAGATTCTGCATAAAAACGTTTATTATGCATAATATTGTTTTTGATGTTTGTTATTGGTTCCTCAGGAAGGTGAAGGTTGGTAGATTTGTTTCGAATATTCCTCCTGTTTGGATTGTTTTGATGAAAGCAATCCTCCATACCTATATTTCGGCATTCTTCCAGAATCTGAGTTTGAATCTGGATCTAAATCTAAATCTGAATCCGAATCCGAATCTTAGTACAGTACTCAAGTCAAGTCAAATCATTAGCTAATACCAACCTTATAGCCAAAAGTCTATTCCTGATTACAGTTATTAATTCATCATATTCTTTCATATGGAATATCTACAGTAAGCCTAGGTATCAACGTACTGTACCCACTGCCGCGAATCGCCCCAATCTACAGAGAGTCCTGGGCTGCTTGGCCTGGCTGGGCTACTAGCCAAGTAGGTTGCAACCGCCGCATCAAAGCTTCAAAGACTAATGCACAACAATTGTGGTTCATAGCGAGATCTGTGAGGAAAAAGGATCTTATTATTCCTCCGTAGACTCTTTAGTTGCCATTTTAAAATTTTCAACCGCTTAATAAGTCAGGTACGAGTTGCACTAGACTGAGAACTATAATGTGATCCGTTCCTGCAGTTGACTACTAAACTACTTGCAGTAGTACATCTAGGTACATTCAGAGTAGCTCGAGTAGACGTTGGTTATTTGAAAGGATTTCCATTAATATGTCTGATCCTGTCCACTCCGTACAATTTTATGTATGTACAGCGGTATAGAGTACATACATAAATCACCACGAGAAGTACCTAGGACCTAGGTACACCAGCATTCATTCTTTCTACCCGTACCCGAATCTCGCTTCAATCTTATTTAATTCGGACGATTACCGGATATTCTTGATAGCTTTTGGTGGCAGTGACTGAACCATCCATATATTTGTGCCATATATACGTGCCATATGCGTGTGCCATATGTGCGGTGTACCTAGGTATGTGCTACATGTACCTAGCTACCTATAACATGGTGCTGTCCTATCTTGGGAAATCAGGGGAAACTCGTAATGCTCATCCTAATGTTACCGAAAGACATGGAAAGACATCATCTATCGATGATACTTATTATGGACTTTCTCCCCCCCTCCCCCCGTATCCTTTCAATTTTTTTATAGATGTGATGAGCAAACAGATGATGAGATTGTCTCTCTTTATGATGCAGCAGGAGAAGCCATCTACTTTTTAGTTTCTCCTTCCTCGATTCTAGTCTCTCGCCTTCACCCTTTAGTCCTAAATCTTTACCCACATAATAAGGGGGCACGTACATTCTGAGGCTACTGTAGTTTGTGTATTCTTTGCAGCGATCCACAAGTTGACGATAATCAATGTGATTTGATCAATTCTCTGGGGTCTCGACAATCCATGGATTCCCATTTGTTTACCCAGGTACTAGGTAGGTAGAGAGCAGACACTTTGCTGCTTTGAGTAATCCGCGTACTGCGTAATATCATACTAATATGAATGGTTACCCAAGCCATCGAATCCGAATTATAGATCATTACCAAGTCAACGCCCACCCTCTGAGCCTCCTCATCCACAGCGCACACTCAATCATCGATTCCACCCTCATCTTATTGATCATTAGCATGATACAGCGCAGAGATTCATGAATAACCCCCGTTGACCCAGCCGTATTTGCGAACCTAGAATCTTTTGCAGAATGATAATTATGGGACGAAAGAAACGGCTCAGAGACAAGTTTACAACAGACAACCAAAACAACAAAAGCAACCAAAACAACAGAGACAAAATACGTTTTGTTCCCCATAAAATAGCCGGGTACCCTTGGAGCCTCGTGCTTATTATTCGATAACTGCCATCAGTTGCCATGTCGAATTAATTTTCTTTTCTTCTCCGTCCCTCTCTCTCCTCTCGCTCCTCGCCCTCCTCGCTCTCTATTAATAAAATCATTGGACAATTGATTCATTTACCTGGGGATCCACTCTTGCAATCCTTGAGGATAAAATTTCCAACGGGAGAGATAATTCGTCAGCCTGACTATTCACGAACCTTTAAAAAGGACCAAAGGTAACTCTAGCGAAATTGGAAATTGGTTCTTGGCCCGTGCTAAGCCAAGCTAACCCAAAGTGGATCTGTCGTACCTGAGCGAAGAAATGTTGTGTGATCCTGTGAAGCTTGTGAAGTTGTGAGCCTGTCCAGTCGAGCCAGTCCAGTCCAGTCCTGTCCTGTCCTGTACTTTGTAAACTATACCCTCAATCAATATTCACTTTTTTACTCTCACCCCCCCAACCCAACCCAACCTACCTCCTCCCTACCCTTTTCACGAAAAAAAAAATACAAAAAAATTCAAAAGCCCTCTTTTTCCATGACGACGGCAATGAGGGTGACGTCGAAGTTGTAAATATTAAACTGCCCAAGTCGGCGGAAGTCACTCCTTTAAACAATTAGCTTTACCCACTGAGCGCTGTAGACGCAGCTGCAACAAAAAGGGCAACGCCATGAACGACGCTGAGCCATCACTCTTTCTGGCCAGACACGAGCATGCATATGGGCAATCTCATCACAATCATTTAAAACAACACCAAAAATTCCACAACAAACGTCAAACGACGGTCGTTGAAACGGCAACAGCTGAAGCTTCCGCCATAACAGAAGTCTATCAAACAATATCCGTCGTCCAACAGGTTGATGTCGATAGCGATGGATCGACGCTCGCGGTCCAGACCCTTCCGGCAAGTGACTACTCGTCTTTGAATATACAGGCCGCAGCAACAACAACACCCTCGACTTCTTCGAGTACGAGTACAGATATCACTTCCACACTTTCTACAGATCTCGGGGCTCAAGCTACATCATCTGGCCAAGTCGTCCTATCGTTATCATCGAGCACTGATGTGACTTCGACTGCCACTCCTTCCACTAGCTTTTCTACTTTCACTCCTAATTCTAATTCAACTACATGTAAGTTAAACTTTCAGATCCTTTGGGGGAAACAATGTATTAATGTTATGATATTAGTAATTTCTAGCTCAATTCCGAATTCGACTCCAGTCTCAGTATCAGTTTCGATTTCAGGTACATTTTCAAGTTCTACAACATTATTTTCAAATGCAACTGCTTCTCCTTCAATTTCCTCCTCATCATCCACAACATCCACATCGTCCACGTCCCCCACAACTAATACTACCGCAATTCCTTTTGCTGGCTCAACTTCGACATCCTCATTCGAAACTTTCGCATCGACGATAACGTCTTCGTTTTTATCTTCATCTCCGTTTCTTTCTTCGGCCGCATCGTCAACGTCTTCGATCTCAGACTCGAACACATTTTCGTCATCATCCTCGCCATCTCAAACAGATTCGACTAGCAGTGGTATTTACGTTGGGGGAGGTACAGGTACTGGTTCGGCATCTGGGGGTAGTGGCGCTACAAGTACTGCCGTTGCTGGGAGTGGTAGCAGTGGCAATGGAACAGATAATACTTCAACGCCATCGACATCCACGATAGTTGGAGGTGTAGTCGGTGGAGTAGCTGGTCTTGCTGCAATTTTGTTTCTTCTGATGTTTGTATTGAGATGGAAGAAGAAGAATGGTGGCATGTTATCTCTTGGAAGTGTGCCTCCTTCGGCGGTTGCAGGTGGTGGAAGCAGTGGAGGAGCTGGTGGGAATGGCGGCAGCGATTCGGCAAACCAAGCCCCAGGTTTCTCTAATCAAGCTCCCCGTAGCATGACAGAGCGTAGATCACTCGCTATGGCCGTACCTGCAGCGCTGGCCAGTCTCTCGAAAACTAAGCGATCCTCTCAAAACACAGCGACTAATACAATCTCCTCAGCAGGCAGTGAAAGAGGCTTCTACAGAGTATCTGGCAAGAAGCTTCCCTCTGTTTTACAACATGGAGGTGACGGTTATGCTGAGCCAAATCCAAATACATTGAGCGGATCTTTCTTCTATCCCTCTGGAGTGCCTCCTATCCCTAACTCGAATACTTTGAGTGGCACCTCGTTCTACCGAGATTCTCAGGGATTCTATGGAGGACAACCAAGCCCACCTCTCGAACCCACGAATAGAGACTCTGGAGTCCCAGTCATGAGACCTAGTCCCGCAAGAACCCCCGTTACAGAACATGGCCCGTTTGCAGAACCACCCGTAGCTACCCCGCCTAGGCCGGATCTTCTGGGTCGCTCGCACCCCTCACAAGATGGCTCCCATCCCTCAAGATTTACAGAAGAAGTCTGAAATAAGAACTCTCGGCATCTTTTAGGAGAAATTCTGGGAGATCATTGGCATGGATAAATGTGAAGGGTTTCGCTTTCTGGTAGTTGTTGTGCGGCTTCTTTTTGGAATTACCTTTTTAGGTAGTCCTTGGATATCTGCTGCAACTCTGCATTGGGTTTGGCGTTTTTTTCCTGATATGCAGGATTTTTGATACCAGTGAGCGCGTGGAGATTTATCTGATTTGCTGCTTCTTACGTTATGATGCCTCTCGGCAATATTCAGGGGAGGGGGAGTAGTCGATTTAGGATAGGCATTTCTCCTGAGATCAGTACATAACTGATACTTGTTCTTTTCCTTGGAGTAAAGTAGATGATCTTGTTGGATAATATAGGCGCCGCTTTTGTAGCAGCAGGCGAATAGCTAGGTTACAAGATCAGAGAGGATGGAATAAAAGATAATGTCTTTTTATGGATGAAACCCAGCGTGTCATTTTGAAGCTTGGATGCATTGTGCATGGTGATTTTCTTGGATGTGATGATTTGAAGAATTGAAAAAGTGCCAGATTTGGGTGTACACAAACATTAGAGTGGCTATGTATGTATGATGCTGCAGTGATGTATACCCTTTTGAGTCCAAGCGAGGTTGTTAAGTTCTGGGTTGGGGCCGATAAAGTCTCCCACTCGTTTCAGCAGTGTAACAGGTCAAATTGTGTAGAGAATTCATTGGTTCATACAGACACTCCTTGAGGTGTTTTTAACCCCGCATTGGCCGATAGCGTCTAGACTTTGTTACCGTAGTATCGGGGTTAAAGAGTTGTGCTCAATACCGTAGGTATGGGACACAAATGTAATGAAAATGGAAGATATTGGATCAATATGGCCATGCGATAAAAGCCTTTGAGGAGTACAGCAGTACAATTTGAATAAAGTACAAGAGAGAGAGAGAAGGCGGGCCGGCCAGAAGACCGGAAAGCTTCGAAGAGTTATTAGCTCCGGGATCTGTACATGATCAACCTGTATATCGGAGATGCCTTGAAGCTTCTATCCGATGTCCGTAGCTTAACAAAATACCTACTTCCAAGGCAGCTTGCGTGAACTCTAATTCAACATCTTTTGTAAGTATTGTAAGTATTGCATTGACACATTACCTACGATCAGGTGGTCGATGATTGTACCCAAGCGAACTCTAACAAGTAATGTTACCTGTTGAATACCACCCATCTACTGAAGAGGTGTCAAATTAACATAAAAGCTGCTTATGACAGACCATACCTCGAATCTTCTCACCAGCAGAATAATGCTTAGTCAATCAAAGATTATTTTGAGATGGGGGTCGTAGTTTGAAATAATAATCGGTGATATCGTATGAGTCGTGAGATGATCGGTGATCAAAAGACTCCTTTCCTGGTTTGTGTGATGCAACACTTTGAATTTCAGATAGCGAGATAGCGAGATAGCGAGATAACGAGACAATGCCTTTCTTTTCCAATTGACTTCTCCTCATCCATTCTCCTGCTTCTCTATACCTTTCTCCATGTTCTTTTGTCCTTGTTGACCTTTGCCCATTACCTAGATCGGTATGATAATCATCCTTTGAAAGCTCCAGAAAGCTCAGACCATAATTAAAATACCCCTAAGGTCGGTCTTGTCGGCCGTAGCAACCCCTCAGCACTACACTACTGGCAGGCATTATTTACTTCGCCTTTCCCCCCAAAAAGTCTAAATCGCAATACATTTCCTGGCTCTTTCAACTCTTTATTTGGCATCACACTATATCAGATCTCATCTCATCTCATATCAGCTCAGCTCAGCTCAGCATAGAATCAATTCAATCGTCATCAGGCCACTAAGCCTTCAGGATCCACAAACAGCGCCCCAGTCACAAAGAAATCTCGGCACCCAATACATGACCCAGACTCGAGAATTAGTACACTGCGATTAAGCGGAATCTCACACAAACTCCGGTTCCTGGCAACTGCTCCAAGAAGCTTGTACGAATACGAATCAACATCGGCTTGGATGATTTAACGGGGACTTCCAAACGACTCCAGTCACTTGCGCTTCTATTCAAAGTCAACTTGATTACTATGCGATAGTTAACGATGATGGATTCCATGCACCATGATACCAATACTTTCATGCCCCAGATTTCTGCACCGCCCATAATGAACCCCCCGCCTCAAATATTCGGGGCTTACAATGCAGATGGTTTACCGGTTTCGACATTACCCGATTTGAATGGTCCAATTTTTGGTGATGGAACCCTCCTCGATGAAAGCAACGAGGCAAAACGGAGGAGGATAGCGAGGGTACGATTCGAAGTTCTGCGAAGGAAAGTGAAATAGAAAGAAAGGCTGACGATGGCAGGCTTGTGATATGTGCCGGAAGAAGAAGATCAAGTGCGATGGAAAATTACCAGCTTGTACGCATTGTATCAACTACAAAACAGAGTGTGTCTTTACACAAGTCGAGAAGAAGAGGAATCCCCCCAAAGGGTAAGCATTTCAGTTGAACTGTGTGTTATTTTGGCTGCGAATCTTGGCCGCTGATTCCCAGACAGAGCGAAATACATCGAGGGCCTTGAGAATCGTCTAGGTCGCATGGAAAGTTTGTTGAAGCTATCTGGTTTGTCTCATCAACTTGGGCATGTTCTGTTATGTTTAATGATTGACGGATAATGTTCTAGGCCTCCTTAGCGAAGAAGATGGTGGACGAACGGATCTGGGAACATTGGAGAAGATATTACAGGAAAAGAATCAATCGCGGAGAGCATCTGCTGTGCCTGCTTCAAGCGCAACGTCCCCGACTCAAAGTACCCCAGGTGGCCCGCCCGAAGCGAATGGATCGACCCCTAAGAGTACTATCGCATCGCCGGAACCAAATAAAGAGTCCGAGAAGCGACAAAGCAAGGACAGTAAAAGTGGAGAGACTGATGAAAATGGAGAGCCCGTCGAGGCGCTTTCAGATATGATGTGCTCCTTAATCACAAATAACTGTGGAGAAACAAGATATATAGGTACGGAATTTTGTTTATTGAAGATGAGCTATGCTAACCAGCTCAGGATCATCGTCTGGGTTCTCCATATTTTCGCCAAAGGGCATCTCATGGGTCAATGAGAAAACAGGCGATTCATCCTTTCAGGAGATGATATCTTCTGCTTCCGTGGACGATAATAAGATGATGTATTGGAAGCCGGAAGTATTCTCGGATTTGTTTGCACGACCGATATGGAGGCAACTTCCTCCCAAAAACGAGTGCGTATCTTTACTCAAGGACTTTTTTGAGAATTTCAATTGCATGTTTCCCCTTTTTCACCAACCTACCTTCATGCATTTGGTCGATCGACAATACTCCAATGATCCTTATGAAGGCTCCGGATGGTGGGCAAGTCTCAACTGTGCCCTTGCCATTGCTCATCGTCTCCGCGTCATGAGTCATCTCGTGCCACAAGAAGAAGACACAAAAGCTTGGGGCTACCTCAAAAATGCCATGGGCGTTTTCACTGAGCTCACGATGCGGAATACTGATTTACTCAGCGTACAAGCTTTGTTGGGAATGGCTTTGTTTATGCAGGGTACACCAAATCCGCAGCCTTCTTTCTTTCTTGTAGCAGCCGCTATTCGACTTTCACATAGTATTGGACTTCACAAACGTGGATCCGGCTTCAACCTCAATCCGGTTGAGATTGAGCAACGCAAACGTGTATTCTGGATAGGATACATGCTAGACAAAGACATCTGCTTACGCTCAGGGAGACCTCCTGCACAAGATGATGATGATATGCATGTCGAATTACCGAGCGCTGACCCCGAAGACAACATTGGTAATATCCCTCTAGCCGGTGGAAAGGGAAAGGTTAACCTCTTCCGCTTGATGTGTGAATTCTCAACTATTGAGAGCAAAGTATACAAGCAGCTTTATTCGACTAAAGCCTCAAAACAGTCAGATGGTGAACTTCTCAACACCATAGGAGAGCTTGATTCTCAACTTGAAGAATGGAAAGACAGTATTCCAGTTGACTTCCGTCCAGAGCACGAGATCAAGGCTTCACATACCCCTTTAATTCTCCACGTTGTTGTTCTTCATTTCGCTTACTATAATTGCCTCACTACAATTCACCGCATGTCTGTTCATCACGGATATTGGACTAGCCGTCTCTCTAATTACGCTATTCAAGGCCTGAATGCTAGACCTCTAAATCCTCGTGTCTTTTCCTCGGCCGCATTATGTGTATCTGCTGCTCGGGCTTCCATACATCTTATCAAATATGTTCCCCAGGGCGACTTCGCTTGTGTTTGGTAAGCTAGAGTCACATACTACCTGGATTACAAGCTGACATATTTAGGCTCATCCTCTACTTCCCCGTTTCCGCGCTCGTAACACTCTTCGGTAATATTCTACAGAATCCTCAAGATCCTCGGGCACGCTCTGATGTTCGGCTTATGAACCTCGTTGTTAACTTCCTTTCTATGCTGGGCACCGAGGAAGAAAATGGAGGTGTAAAACGCATGCTTGGAGTCTGTTCAGAGTTTGAGAGAATAGCGAAAGTCGTTTTGGATAAAGCAGAAAAGGAGACATCTTCAAGAAGAAAACGAAAGAGTGGCGATGATTCGACCAAAGCATCACATATGCCTAGGGCCGGTCAACCACGAACTCCTATGAACACTACTCAATCCCCCATGCCTGGAGTCTTCTCTCCCAACTCGACAAACCAAATGAACTTTCAGAACGGATTTAGCCCCATGCAAGGAGCTTCTCCTAACTCTAATTGGCAATCCGACTTTGCTCCTTCTGGAGGTGATTTTATGGGACAAAATACAGGGACACCATTTGGGAGTGTTCAAGGCTTTACGAATGGAAATGAGTTCAACTCCCCATTAAATCCAAATTCTTTCCAACAACCTTTTGTTCCTCAGGATCTTTGGCAGATGCCAATGACCCTTGAATGGGACTGGGCAGAAATGACAGGGGGCGCATATCAAAGTTTCGAAAATGGCGTTATGGGGGACCCTAATCTTCATATGAACGATAATTCACATCTACAAAACCAGGGAGGGGGAATGTAAAGCAAGGATTTTGGCGTTCTCATCTATGGAGATATCTGGAGATCAAGGTGTTATGATAGTACTGGGCATAGGAGGGGGTTACATCTGGCATAAATTAAGGGCTCATAGCACTCGCTTTGCATGATGGTTATGGCGCTTTCTGGGAGGATTCGGCTGGCTTAGGGATGATTACCTTTAGCTTTATAAGAGGTTCATAGGGATGGTGTAAATTGGTATCTCCTCTGATCATGTTACTGCAAGGCTTCATTATGCCTAACCAATGTATTCTAATGACTTGCTTTGAAATACGTAAAATAGGCTTGTACTATTAATTTTGAAGAACTACATGAATGTAAAATAATAAAAGTTAGTCAGTTATTTCAATGTCATTTTTATGATCGATTATCATTGGGAAATAAAATACCAGTATGTCCGAGGTTAATAAAATTTATCAAATATATCAATATATCTTTGAGTTTCGATATCGAAAATGCGCTAGTGTTGTAATCAATCAAGCTTAATCGAGGCATCATAATGATTTGCCTCCCACCTCTAACTCCGACATCCACAAACCACTTCGAATACACTCTCAAACCCTCTTAAATAGTGGTCAACGTCACGGCAAGTCATTCCCAGTGACTCTGAACCACGTTTATATCCCAAATACCCCACGTACAGCTCTAGCCAAGCATGACATCAATATTACGACAATGCAGCTCTCTTGCTAGAATTTCTCAGACCACCATCCAATCTGCCGCACGAAATTCCCTCCGTACATCATCGACAGCACCCTTATTACGGTCGCGGATAGCTGCACAAAGAGCGCGCACATTCGTCACCAAGCCGCCAAAGCCAGACAAGGACACGGGGAAGGATGAGTCGGAGGTAAAGTCGAAGAATAAAAAATCGTCAAAACCACCCACCAAGTCCGCTCCCGGGACGGAAAACCTCTACAATGGAAAGACTCCTTTGTCTCCCTCGGAGAATGATGCGGAAGTACAGGAGCCACCGCTGGTGGAAGGATATGTGAAGTTGACGGAGGAGGAGATGAAGCAGCTAGAGCAAGTAATTGCTTCGATGCAATTTGGAAAAGGCCAAACTCAAGAATTAAGGGAATCTTTGAAGGAGATAAATAAGGCAGGAGTGCCATCTGACTTAAGAGATTTGCTGAAAGAAGTGAAGGGTAGACCGATGACTTTGACGGAAGCTGCAAAATTTACAAGACTGGTGTTGCAGATGGCGTGGTCCGCTGCAAAGGTCCAATCACAGGCACAACAGTCACAGGGAACAAATTTCAATTCAAACGAGCCAGGATCTTCTACAAATGGTAACAAAGGAGACCAGAAGCAGGGTGGCAAGAAAGGCAATCAGCACGAAAGCTTCCACTTTGGCAACTCGTCGGATATCAAACTCGATACTACAACCTTATTGATTGGATCTTTCGCAACATACTTCCTATGGCAGACACTCTTTCCCGGCACCAACAAGAAGGACATCACATTCCAGGAATTCCGAAATAACTTCTTTGACAAAGGGTTGGTCAAGAGATTGACTGTGGTTAACAAGTCGGAGGTCCGGGTTGATCTTCACACTGAAGCCGCTGCTGCGATGTATCCAGACTCTCCTGCCGGTAACCCCAACTTTCATTACTACTTCTCAATAGGTTCTGCCGAAGGTTTTGAGCAAAGAATGGAACAAGCACAAAACGAGCTAGGAATACCTGTTGCTGAGAGGATACCAATTGGTTACGCCAGTGATGGAGATACATGGGCTCTTATCTACTCTTTCGGCCCCACACTTTTGTTCATTGGTGCTATTTTCTACATGTCAAGGCGAGCTTCGGCAGGGGCTGGAGGCCAGAGTGGCATTTTTGGAATGGGAAAAAGTCGAGCAAAGCAATTCAATCACGAGACTGATGTAAAGGTTAAGTTTAAGGATGTTGCCGGTATGGATGAAGCAAAGCTAGAAATTATGGAGTTTGTCTCCTTCCTAAAGACACCTGAGCAATTCCAACGTTTGGGTGCTAAAATTCCTCGCGGCGCTATTCTTTCTGGACCACCAGGTACTGGTAAAACTTTGTTGGCAAAGGCAACAGCTGGTGAATCTCAAGTACCATTCTTTAGTGTCAGTGGTTCCGAATTCGTCGAGATGTTTGTTGGTGTTGGAGCATCGAGAGTTCGGGATCTTTTCGCCATGGCCAGAAAGAGCACTCCTTGTATTATCTTCATTGATGAAATCGATGCTATTGGAAAGTCTCGTGGAAAATCCGGTGGATTTTCTGGAGGTGGAAACGATGAACGGGAAGCTACACTCAATCAAATCTTGACTGAGATGGACGGTTTCAACACGACTGAGCAAATTGTTGTTCTTGCTGGTACCAATAGACCCGACGTACTTGACAAGGCTCTAATGAGACCTGGTCGTTTTGATAGACACATTTCTATCGACAGGCCGACCATGGATGGTAGAAAGCAAATCTTCAAGGTTCACTTGGGCAAGATTGTTACCAACGAGAATATTGAGTACTTGACTGGACGATTGTCAGCCTTGACTCCAGGTTTCTCTGGTGCTGATATTGCCAACTGTGTCAATGAAGCTGCTTTGATTGGTAAGTATTTCCTTTTCAATTTTTTGACTATTACTAATTTTGAATAGCTGCCCGAACACAAGCCAAATCTGTAGCTATGTTACACTTTGAACAAGCTATTGAGCGTGTTATTGGTGGTCTCGAGAAGAAATCTCTCGTTTTGTCACCAGAAGAGAAGAAGACAGTTGCCTACCATGAAGCAGGCCACGCAATTTGCGGTTGGTACTTCAAGTGGGCTGATCCACTTCTCAAAGTTTCCATCATTCCTCGTGGACAAGGTGCCCTCGGATACGCACAATATCTTCCTGCTGGCGACACTTACCTCATGAATGTCAACCAACTTATGGATCGTATGGCAATGACTCTCGGTGGACGTGTATCGGAAGAACTCCACTTCGAAACCGTCACCAGTGGTGCTAGTGACGATTTCAACAAGGTTACTCGTATGGCTACCGCTATGGTAACTAAATGGGGCATGTCTAAAAAACTCGGCCCCCTCCATTTCGAAACTGACAGAGAAAATCAACTCATGAAACCTTTCGCCGAATCGACAGCCCAAACCATTGATTCAGAAGTTCGACGTATAGTCGATGAAGCATATGAGAAATGTAGAAACCTACTGGTGGAGAAGAAGGACGAAGTGGGTATCATTGCAGAGGAACTTTTGGCGAAGGAGGTGCTCGGTAGAGATGATATGGTGAGATTACTGGGACCAAGACCATTTGATGAAAATAAGGACTTCATCAAGTATTTCGGCGGAGGATCGTTAGGAAAGAGTGCGCCGCCACCACCGGCGACGGAGAGTACGGATTTGCCAACTGAGGACCCTACTCCTCTTGCTTAGAGGTCGATGGAGAATAGGATTAGAGAAGGCACTGGGGAGGAGCTTGGAAGAATGGAGATTTGTATAGGATGGGATATCCATCACGAGATATCTTGAATGGAGGGCAGGGACGGGGAAGGGCATATCAAAATATGTCGAGGAATCAATGAAGAGAAAAGGAAGAAAGAAAGAAAGAAAGAAAGGGCTACGATTCAGGCAAAAGACCAAACTTCACTCTCCTATTCTGTTTTGTGAAATAAATAGCATTTGCGGCGAGGGATTTACTTTAGATGGACTTGTGACTTGGCTGAATGGGGCTGAGATGAATGATGATATTTGAATCTGCATTGTTTTTGGAGGCGGGGGGGTGAGATGAAGTGAAGTGGGATGGAATGGAGTGGAGTGGAGCGGAGTGGAGCGAAGTAGGTGGATGCAGATTTTTTGAGGAGTGGGGGTGTATGTATTATATTGTGTTAAAAATGAAATATGTATCATCTTCAATCTTCTTTATTTGTTGTTGTTTTGGTGGTGGTGGTGTAGTGGTGGTGCTTTTTGTGGTTGGGAATGGGATGTGAATGTGAGGACTTGAAGGGGGGTAGGGAGATAGGGAGGGAGGTTTTATTCTACTATTTTGATGATAACTGATGTTGTGTATGGAATAGTGCTCTCCTCCGGGTTGTATCTAGGTGTGTAGACTTTTTCATATTCTGTCTAATGTTTTTTTTTTTTTTTTTTTTTTTTTTTTTTTTTTTTTAAAAAAATGATGAGTTTTTCTGTTTGCTCTTTACGTTTTGGATAATGAGGTCATTGGATGGATGACTGAATAAATGCACGACTGAATGGATGAATAAATGGATGGATGAATTAAAAAGTTAAAAAGTTAAAAAGTTAAAAAGTTAAAAAGTTAAAAAGCTAAAAAGCTAAAAAGTTAAAAAAACATCTCGATTTCCATCGACGAAAGTGTTCAACGCGCAGAGCGAAGAGAAAAGAGCGTAGTGGAATTTCCTTTTCCCTTCCCGATCGCTTCTCAGCCCTATTATTTCTCTACTCCCATATATATCTTCATACGTTACGTTACTCCTCTGCTTCATCGGTAGATTCGCCAAAGGCATAAACGGACACGTTTGTTCTTGTATGTGTGTGTGAATCTCTGAGGACTAGTTTTGATGACGATTTTGATTTTGCGTTAGTTTTTACATCGGTTTTGGTTTCAGTCTTTGTATCGGTTTCTGTTTCTGTTTTTGTGGATTGTGAATGCGAATGCGAATGTGAGTATGAGTATGAGTGTGAGAGTGTATGTGAGGGATGTCTCTTTTCCCACATTTCTTGCTGTTCGGTGCGGAATTGATGGAAGAGAGTTAGAGCGTCGAGATGATCCTGTGCGTCGTCGAGCGAGAAGCCGTAGTCGAGTTTGAAGGATTGGAAACCGGTGGGGTAGCCGAGATCGTGCAGCCACTGGGAGGGGGAGAGGGAGGAATTAGTGTGGGTTTGACGGGGGGGAGGTTTGTGTGGATGTGGAGTCTCGTGTATTGTAATAAGGAGGTTAGTGAACGAGTGAAGCTTACTTGGGTGTCGGATTTGGTATTGGGAGCGGGAGAGGAGCGGGATGTCATTTTGTAGTGGGTGGGATGAGAGTCAAATGCGTCAAATTTGTTAGGATATCAAGAAGTTGATTGGACTTCAGGATGTTTGAAGGTTTGATCCTCGATGTTGAACTCACTGCTATTGAAGTAATTGTTGTCAATCTAGACAAGAGAGTCTGAGAGAGGTTCATGCTCTGGTTGAAGTTTCCTTACCAAGCATATTGAACAAAGAGTAATGATTGAAAGAAATAAAGCTGGTTCAATGTAACAATAAACGATAGTTAAACAAAGAGAACGACGGCCAATTTCACAACGCAACCGATACTGTTTCTGTTCCTGATTATTTTACTAGCAGCTTTCTAGAAAGTGGAACATTCGAAGAAGAAAGGAGTTCGAGCTTCCGAACACACCACTAAGTGTGGGCCGCCCCTCTGCTGACATTTTTGACTTACATTATCATGTCTTCAAGACTTTAGAAGAACGGCTGGTACTCACTGGTATCCAACTACATCATAATGAAAAAAGCGATAACACCCTACAAGCACCCGCACGCAAGCAACTTAGCAACTTAGCAACTTAGCAACTTAGCAACTTAGCAACTTAGCAACTTAGCAACTTAGCAACTTAGCAACTCAGCAACTCAGCAACTCTCGACAAGCTCACTAACCCAAAAGAGATGACCTTCCGAATAGGGCTGCAGATTAAAGATGCAAGTAGTCCTGGTCTCTTGATATTTGTAGTTCATATCTGACTACATGCGTACAAGAAGTAGGTAGGATATCAATATTGACTCAAAAGGACTAGGAACGTCTATACCCGATGGTCTCGAGTATCTCGACTAGGGGTAATCAAATCATTCATCTCATATCTGGGTGAGAAGCAGAAGTCTTTGCTTACCTCTCTTTTAGGAAGCAATGCAATGCAATGCAGATAGAAGAATGGATAGATATACTATTGTGTCTGTATGAGTAGGCTCTTAGTAATGCAATACATATAACAGGATCATGTTATCAATTATCTACCTTCTCACCTCCGTATCGCTGGTCGCTTGCTATATATATCCATGTTCAAGTAAACATTGCGAACCCAACCCACCTCACGCCACTCTCAGTCCAAGCTTCCCGCTTCATTAAAGTTTACCTACCTAGTGGCAGTTGAATACATCAATTTCTGATTGGCTCACATGTTTAAGTTTAAACGAAGTGGCTTATCCTTAGCTTGGCCCCTCCAAATCCCCAGCCATAGAGCAACCTTGGAAGCTTGAGCACTTTCCAACGGTTACTATTTAGGACCAAAAATAAGGAAAGCTCCAGCCTTATTGTTATTATTACTACATGAGAGAGTCGTTTTATTTTGATTTGGGTTGCGATCCTACTTCGAAGATCAGCTTGAAATTGAATACTTGATTGTGTTCAACATCCTCTTCAATATGGATTCTGATGATAATGGGTTGGTGACTATTGAGAAGAACCATTTTGAAGCTTTACTGAGAAGGTAAAATGAATGATCTTCCTTTAACCCTGCTGTACGAGATGTACGCAATGTCTTAGCTGCGTGCAATCACTAACCGTTTTGCCCCACAACAGAGCTGACTTCGTATGTCGATATCGATATTTCTTGAGAGGTCGATTGATCGCCAAATACTTATTTGTTTATGTGTAGAATGGTTCGGAGGGTGGTGATTTTGATGCTTCTCAAGATGCCGATAACATTACAATACCGAGAAAGGAGTATGATACCTTGGTGAGCATCTCACCCCATTGCACATTGTGAATTGACAGAAACCTCGACTAATAAATACCCTTTCTTGTGGTAGAAGGAATCCGTTCGTGAATATGGTACGCCATTCATCCATACATATGAGAGGTATTACTTAATATGGTGAATGTGAGAGACTGATTCAATAATCCAGAGAATCTGCGACGCAGCCTTATTAACGGTGGTATTACGGAGGAGACCTTGAATGTGAGTTTTTGAAGTTGTGGCATCCAAGTACCTACAAATTTCTGTTTGCTAACATAACTTTTTCAAGAGCTTAACCAAGAGTGACGATGAAAATGGAGTTGATCAGAGTGCTGCCTCGAATGTGTCTGCGACGCATGAAGATCCTGATGAAAGCACTACCTTTATGACACAAAGTCCTCCTCCATTGACTCCAATTGACCATGGTCACCAAGCTTATACATTTGGCACGCCCCGAACTGGTACAATATTTGCAAGTCGTCCTCAAGAATACAAAAGCTCTCAAAATCATAACTTTCAGTATCAAGAGACCCCGAACCAAAATCTGCATGCCAGTGGTCACGACGACAATAATAATACTTTCGATTTTGAGGCCGAATACAATTCGGAGACTGATTCTCGGCGCCCATCTTATGAGAAGTTTGCCCAGCGTACTGTACAATTGTACAACCTCTCAGAGGGTACTACACATGCAGATGTTTGCGATGCTGTTAGGGGAGGGATGCTGTTAGATATGTATCTTCGCACTCATGATCATACTGCGATTATATCGTTCCTCGAACAGGCCCAAGCTAATGAGTTCTTTCGTCATGTCAAACGCAATGATTTGTATGTCCGTTCAAAGAGGGTGCGTGGTCCTGAGTATACATCCATACTCAAACAACTGACAGTCCGTAGGTCGACATTCGATGGCATGATAGACAATTCATCTTACCAGATCACATCGCAAATCAAGTAAGGGTCGGAGCTACTAGAAACCTTTTCATTCAAAAGTGCAGCCCCAACTTTACCGAAGAAGTCATCCGGAATGATCTTGAGCACATCCATAACCTGGTATTGATTAAGATTGTGTTCAATGGTTCCAATGCTTTCATCTCGACCAATTCTGTTCATAATGCAATGTTTGCTCGTACTTGCATGATGAGTCGTGGGTATGTTGCTTTCATCTATCACTTTAGAGCTCGCTAACTCTTCTTTAGCGCTTATAGGAATTCGAAGATTAAATGGGCTCGTGATGAATGTGCAGCACCACTACCGAGGCGCCCAAGTCCTCAATTCGACAATCCTCCCATCCCAAAGAAGCAGAACACCCCTTTGGCCAATCGTTTCGAACCTCTCAACATTTATAGGGAGGACGAATCAGAGACTGACACCGAGGGCAAAGAAAACAAAATTGTAGGCGCTGATGGTGTAGATGGGAATGCGAGAATAAGACAACGGGGAGGGGCAGGAGTAAGAGAGCAAGATGAAGAAGTGATGGCGTGATAATGGGCATGGGTATTCCAGCTGTGAATATTCATATACCTGGACTTGGTGCCTACAGGATTGATGATGGGGATAGATTTGTCGACCAGAACACTTTTCGATTCATCCGAAAAGGCTGAAGATTGGTGAATACCATCCCTTACATCGGGCTATGTACTAGGGTTGGGAGGCGTTACCATGAGGAGTCTGTTTCTTTGTGTATTTTCTGGTTCAGATACCCCTTGAAGAATGGTCTGTTTGTGCTTCGGATATGTAATAGGTCTGATGAAGTGGTAATTTTCATTGTAAGCGTGGATGACTAGGAGGGTACTTACAAACTGTACTCTGTATAGAAACATCCATAGGTACCTAGTACTTATACGGTCAATAGCGTTATCGCAGCGGAATAATCAAAAGTTTTTGAAAGTCCAATTTCTTGTCTGCGGGTGGTCCACGGATTAATAAAATCCGCCTCCGTACGTAGCATGTTAACAGATTCAAGGATGGATCTGAGGGGTCATTCTATCTAAAAATAGTGCACCCCTCCTTTGTTGACTAAGGTTATATCACGTGTAGATTAACCTATCACAATCTTATCGTATTCGAACGCGCGGTCGCCCAATCGATCGCCCTTTCTTGAACCTTCCTCCTCGCAGATTCCAGTTTCATATGCAAAAATAGCCACAAACCACATGAACTTCAAACTTTCACTAAAATCAAACTGTATGGAAAAACACCTCTCTTATATCTCATAACATCGGCATCTATAATGTAAAGGTAGATACAACATCTACTCAAGCAATCAATGCCCATACTTCCAGACGATAAATGCGACGACGCCTGTGTCATGCCAGGTCATCAAAACCGCTCTTTGAGCTCTGCATCATTCTCGACACTCGCCTTCTCTTCTATTCCCTTGATTCTAACGTTTCTCGTCGTCAGTCTCGTCGTTCTTCAGAAGCTCTTCCCATTGTTAGCTGGTCTACAACAATCCAAGGAAGATCATATTCATTATCTCCCTAGCGATGCCCCTCCCAGTTTGCGACAATCGCATAAAGAATATGGCAAGAAAACTGCAAGAAGAAAGGCTATAGCTATCTCATTCTCTACTACCATTGCGTTGGCTACAGTGCTCGCAGAATTGATTCTTTGCGAAATCTCGAATTACCTAAATCCAGCGGCAAGGGCGTTTGCGCTCAAGATAACGGTTCCTACACTTTTATTTCTACTGGTTGTTCTTATACCATTTCTCGAATTGCAATCAATTATTGCAGGGCTTGGGTGGTCATTCAGCGTATCGAAGAAAGGAGGATTTTCTACGACTGCCTGGCTCCTTCAAGCTACTGGTTTTACAATATGGTTGATGGGGTTTTGGTGGCTGGGGAAAGGGATACCGGGAACTTATATCCACACAATGGCATCTGTACCCGGAAAAGGACTTAGCGAAGCTTGCTTGGATAGAGTTGGTATCATCGGAATTTCTTTGATGGCTCTACTTTCTGGGTTTGCGGCTGTCTCTGCCCCTTGGCAAACATTTGGCGCAAGGCCGAAACCTGTTTCGGAAGCTGATATTGCACGTAAGCAAGCAGGCTTAAATGCTACGAACGATATGCTTGCTGTAAAACGAAGTCGATTAAGAGCTCTTCAGCGCAAAGTTAATGATCATCCAGCTGAAGGATTCATGACGAAGGTTATTGGAAGCATACGAGGAAATACTGAAGTACAAGAATTGAAGGCTTTGGAGCTAGAGATATCTGGACTTTCGTCTATGGCTCAAAACCTTTCCACCTCGCTATCGATGTTGCAAAACCGTTACGCAACGAAACAACGATCCTCTTCACCTCTTGGTAAAATTGTCTTCACGCCCATTTCTTACGCGTTTTCATTATATTGTATGTATCGCATTGGAACGACTACGTTGGCTGTTCTTCGACGTCTTCTCTTTCCGACCGACCCTGCATTCTTCAGTTCATCATCCACGGATCCAGTGAATCGTATTCTCTCTCTCTTCGCTAAGCACGTAAATCCAGCTTTTGATCAATTAGCATGGTCTCGTCAAATATCCTTTCTCTTATCGGCTGTAATCCTCTTCGCCTCCTTCAATTCCGTACTTCAGACCTTCCATATGCTCACCAAAATCTCACCGTCGCTCCTCTACCAAGCTCAAGCTAATCTGGCACTCATCGTTGCACAAA